TCTGCCTTGCTTTCACGGAGGGAGGGAGGGAACGGGGGCCTGATGATATGTACCCAGAACCACCCGCGACAATGTTTTAGCCCCATCAGGCATTGGGATCTCAACCCAGAATTCCAATGGGCAGCGGAGACTGCGGGAACTGTGGGATAGCCACCCACAGTGCAACACTCCGGAAGTCGATGCTAGCCTCAGTACTGTGGAAGCACTCCGCCGAGTTAATGCACTTAATGCACTTAGAGCATTTTCTGTGGGGACACACACACTCGAATATATAAAACCGATTTCTAAAAAAACAACTTCTATAAATTCGACCTGATTTCATAGTGTAGACATACCCTAGGATAGTAATGGTGACTGTGAAATGCTTAGGGAGATTAGAGAGGCTACAAAAATAGAAAACTCAAAAATAATGGGGGGATTTCAACTATCCCCACATTGTCTGGGTACATGTCACCTCAGGATGGGGTGCAGAGATAAATTTTCTAGACAGCATTAATGACTGCTTCTTGGAGTGGCTAGTCCTGGAACTCACAAGGGGAAAGGCAATTCTTGATTTAGTCCTAAGTGGAGCACAGGATCTGATCCAAGAGGTGAATATAGCTGAACTGCTCCGTAATAGCAACCAGAAAGTAATTACATTTACCATCCTTATGGTGGGAGGGGAATACCAAAGAAGCCCAGCACAATAGCATTTAACTTCCAAAAGGGAACCACACAAAAACAAGGAAGCTAGTTAAAGAGAAATTAAAAGGAACAGTCACAAGACTGAAATGCCTCAAGTTGCATGGAAACTTTTAATAGAGGCTCAAATTAAATGTATATCCCAATTTAAAAAAATTGGAGAAAAAATTAAAAAAAGGACAAAAAATGCCAACATGACTTAATAACAGAGTAAAAGAGGCAGTTAGAGGCAAAAAGGCATCCTTAAAATTGGAAGTCAAATCCTACTGAGGAAAATAGAAAGGAGCACAAACTCTGGCAAGTCTAGTGTAAATTGAATTAGGTTTCAGAGTAGCAGCCGTGTTAGTCTGTATCCGCAAAAAGAAAAGGAGTACTTGTGGCACCTTAGAGACTAACAAATTTATTTGAGCATAAGCTTTTGTGAGCTACAGCATCTGACGAAAGCTTATGCTCAAATAAATTTGCTAGTCTCTAAGGTGCCACAAGTACTCCTTTTCTTTTTGCATATAATTAGGCAGGCGAAAAAAGAATTGGAAGAGCAACTAGCAAAAGACACAAAATCTAGGAGGATATGTGATACCAATTTTTTAAAAAGGATCCAGAGGTGATCCTGGCAATTACAGCCCAGTAAGCCTAACTTTAGTACCAGGAAAACTGATTGAAACTATAGTAAAGAATAGAATGATCAGACATATAGATGAACATGATTTGTTGAGGAAGAGTCAACATCGCTGTTGTAAAGGGAAATCGTGCCACACCAATCTATTAGAATTCTTTGAGGGAGGTCAACAAACATTTGGAAAAGAGTGATGCAGTGGACATACTGTACTTGGACTTTCAGAAAGACTTTGACAAAGTCCCTCACCAAAGGGTCTTCAGGAAAGTAAGAAGTCATGGGATAAGAGGGAAGGTCCTCTCATGGATCAGTAACTGGTTAAAAGATAGGAAACAAAAGGTAGGCATAAATGGTTAGTTTTCAGAATGGAGGGAGTCCTCCAAGGATCTGTACTATGACCAGTGCTGCTCAACATATTCATGAATGATCTGGAAAAAGGGATAAACGGTGAGGTAGAAAAGTCTGCAGATGATACAAAATTATTCAAGATAGTTAAGTCCAAAGCAGACTACAAAGAGTTACAAAGAGATCTCATAAAACTGGGTGCCTGGACAACAAAATTGCAGATGAAATTCAGTGTTGATAAATGCAAAGTAATGCACATTGGAAAACATGATCCCAACTATACATACAAAATGAGAGGGTCTAAATTAACTATTACCATTCAAGAAACAGATCTTGAAGTCATTGTGGATAGTTCTCTGAAAATATTTGCTCAATGTGCAACAGCAGTCAAAAAAGTTAACACTGTTAGGAACATTAGGAAAGGGATAGATAATACGACAGAACATATCATAATGCTACTTTATAAATCCATAAACCTTGAATACTGCATGCAGTTCTGGTCTCCCCATCTCAAAAAAGATATATTAGAAATGGAAAAGGTACAGAGAAGAGGAACAAAAACTATTAGGTGTGTGGAACAGCTTCCATAAGAGGAGAGATTAAAAAGACTGGGACTACTGATCTTGGAAAAGAGATAACTAAGGAGGGATATGATAGGGGTCTATAAAATCATGAATGGTGTGGAGAAAGTGAATAAGAAAGCATTATTTACCCCTTCACATAACACAAGAATCTGTGGTCACCTGATGAAATTAATAGGCAGCAGGTTTAAAACAAACAAAAGAAAGTACTTCACACAACACATCTCTGGAAGTCATTACCAGGGGATGTTCTGAAGACCAAAAGTATAATGGGTTTCAAAAAAGAATTTGATTCGTTCATGGAGGATAGGTCTATCAATGATTATTAGCCAAGATGCAATCATGCTGTGGGCATCCCTAAGCCTCTGACTGCCAAATGCTGGAACTGGACGACAGAGGATGGATCACTTGATAATTGCCCTGTTCAGTTTATTTTCTCTGAAGCATCTGGCATTGGCCACTGTTGGAAGACAGAATATTGGGCTAGATCAGGGGTGGGCAAACTATGGGCTGTCAGGGCTTTGGATCTGGCCTGCAGGATCTGGCCATCCCACACCCCAACCCACTGTCCCAGCCCTGCATACAATTTCCCCACCCAGATGTGGCCCTCAGCCCAAGAAGTTTGCCCACCCCTGGGCTAGATGGACCATTGGTCTGACCCAGTATGGCCGTTCTTATGTTATTAGATGAATGATTAACCACAAAACACATGCATACACATTTGAAGAGATGAAATTAGTGGCAATAGTTTGTTTTCTGCCTTTCCAAAATGACAGTGAAGAGAAAATGAAAAAGTGAAGACAATTCAGTGTACACTCTTGTAAAATGATATACCCAATGCTACAGATCAATCATGGAACTTTTGTTATCACACATAAAAAAGGCCAAACTACTGCTGCTTCTGCATCCAGCAGCTGCCATTCATTTAAAGTTACAAAAGAAAAAGAAAGACAAATTAGACTTATCCCATTCCCCCTCCTTTTATCCCCCCCCCCCCATGTACAAAAAAAGCCTGAAAGGTTTTTCTCAAAGAAAGGTTTTTATCTGTATTTTACATTAGAAATTCTGGTCCTGGCTACCACAGAAGACTGTGAGACTAGTGAAATCATGACATTACAAGAGGCAAAATTGAGAGCTGAGCACTTGAGACGGAAATGCTTAATCAATACTTGGAGGAAAAGGATGTGTTGGTTAAAGCTTCAGCACCCTTGCCTCTTCACAGCTGAAGTGTACAAGCTCAGTATATCCTCCACCAAGTGGTCCTCCAGCAGTTAGGGTAAATTATACTAAATATTACTGATATTTCTAAAGTCAAAACAAACAAAGCTCACACCTTCAATCCTTACCCCTTCCAACCCTCAAAACAAAAGTGTTCCTTCACTTTCTAGCACCTAGAACGGGTTGGGCAAAATATGGCCCACGAGCCGGAACTGGCACATCTAACATTTCTGTCCAGCCCGCCATGACTAACATTTCTGTCCAGCCCGCCATGACTAACATTTCTGTCCAGCCTCCTCTGCCCTCATGCAATCTCCGAGTCCAGGCTGCTAGGAGTCCCGCGGTGCAGTGGGGCGCTCAGGCAAGCTGCCTGCCTGCCGTGGCCTCACACCGCTCCCAGAAGCTCTGGCTGTTGCTGGCAGGTCTCTGCATGCCCCTGGCAGGGAGGGTGGGGCGATGGGAGCAGTAGAGGCTGTGCTTGAGGGCATAATCAGCACACGGAGACCCGCTGCCCCCATCCCCCCAAGGGGCACAAAGAGACATGCCAGCAGCAGCCACTTCTGGGAGTGGCATGGGGCCACGGCCTGAAGGCAGCCTGCCTGAGCCCTGCTGCACCGCCGGCCGGGAGCGACCTGTGGTAAGCGCCTCCTGGCCAGAGTCTGCACCTTGCACCCACTCCCGCACCCCAACCACCTGCCCCAGCCCGAGCCCCCTCCTGCACCAAACTCCCTCTCAGAGCCCATATCCCTCACCCTCTCCAGTACCCCAGCACTCTGAAATAGCCCAGAACTCCCTCCTGCACCCAAACTCCCTCCCAGGCCCTGCAGCCCCTTCATTAATATAGTAGAAATGTGCGGCCCATGATGATTTACCAAAATTCATGGAGGGGTCCCCCTGCAAAAATTATTGTCCACCCCTGAGCTAGAACATGCCTTGGCAGCTGGAGAAGCTGAAAGCAGCCACAAGGCTTCTCCAAACTTATGCTGGGGGCTGTACTCATGCAAAACCAATCCCCAGGATTGAAAAGACACACAGAGCCCTTTTGATGCCTCCCCCACCCCAATCTGTACCCATAGCTCACTGAGTGAAGGTGAGTATCTGACCTATGGAGTGAGAAAATGCTGTATAGAATGTGTCTGTAAGATGTGCTGTGATACATGAGTATGAGGGTAGCTACATCAATTTTTTACAAGCTTAGAACCTGGCATGAGAGCTCCTTGCAGCTGGTGATACTTAACATTACTTACAGTAACAGAAAAGGTCAGATTTTCAAAAAAGAGCTCAGCACACAACAGCTCCTTCCTCAATGGAAGCTGCTGGATAACAAGTGCCTTTGGACGTCTGTCACCAATAGTAGGTTCTGGGAACTTTTGAAAATCTAGGCCAAAGAGATAAGTCTGCCCTCACATGTGCAGATATATTGCCCATTGCCTTCAAACAGGTTGTATGGACGTATAAGAGCACAAACATTGGCACTTTTTCTACACCCTGCAACTAATAGAACTTCTTAGCTCATCAGTTCAACAAATAGGTTTATAATTATCACACTCACAGTTTGTACCACACATCTTTAATTACAATTAGTAGTTACATGTTTATAAATATACTTTTTCCATCATAGTGACACAATCAGTGACTAGGTATGATTTAAGTAGACAAGATATGTAATGTTGTTGTAAGGCAAGATAAATCACATTTTTATTCACAGGCTTCAAAAAGAGAAAAGGCATTAAACCCCAGAATCAAAGTTTTATATTACTGACAGGAAATAATTTAAAAAAAAATTAGGAACAGCAAACCAAGATTAACTTTTGAAGTGCAAACATTACAGAAAACACTAATATCAAAGCCAATTTACCAGTCCATGTTCAGAAAAGACAACTTTTTTTAAATAATGTCAAAGTGAATCAAAATATATAACAAAAGTTATTACAACAAATTGCATATGTTGCTAAAAGAAGGCAGTCTTGAACAGCTAGTGTCTTCATTTGTGATTAGAGAGAGAAACAATTTATGTAACACCGTAAAAGCAAAGTTTGTTTGGTTCAAACCATTTTAAGAATGGAAGACACCTTATAATATAGGCCTTAGTCCTGCAATTGGATCCATGCAGGAAGGCCTTTCCATTCAAGTAGAGCTTCTTGGATTATCAAGGGGTGAAGTCCTGGATCTACTTAAATAAATGGATTTCACCACTGCTCACATGGATCTGACTGAAGGATCAATGCCACAATTTGTTAGGATCCACACCAGCAAAGCACTTAAGCACATGCTTAAACTTTCAGTATGTGAGTAGTCCATCAACCTCAGTTGTACTACTTGTGTTTAACTTGAAGCACAAGTTTAAGAACTTGGTGGATCAAAGCCTTAACACTACTTAGTGTATTTTTAAGGTATAAAATAAGAAATATGACCATATTAGTAAATAATAATAATACCATATTTTGGGGGCTCAAACCAAGCAGCTTATTTGAACAGCATTGCAGAAGGGATTTTATATACCAAACCTTCTGAAATGCTATTTTTTTAGTATCAACTATAAAGGGCCTGATCCTGCCCTACTGAAGTCGCCTAAAGTTCTACCACTGATTGCAGCAGGAGCAGGATAAGGCCCACAATGCAAACATTATTTAAGACATATGTTTTTCTTACTAAGCCCTTTCATATGGTACTACAGATACAGTAGACCAATGCAGGAACATTAACTAACATTTCAAGTTAATCTCTAAAAAAATAGGTGTACCACAATATTGCATAGAAAAAAATCCCTGGTATAAATATGCTTACACTGGATATGGAGGCTTTTTGCCTGCATTTTACTAGAACAAAGCCCATATATTTTAAGTAGTACAATTCACATTTAATGATGATTTCCTTGACTATGTTCTTTGGAATTGCTAGTGTATGTATTATTTCAATAACATTTTTTATTCTGCATGCTATTGTTAAGTATAAGACAATACACATTGTGTGTTGTTGAGTTTTACAGCAAATTTAACTATTTCCACTCCCTAACTTTATTGTGAAAATGTGTGTAAAGCCTTAGAATAACTTCAGACCTAACAAGTTTTCATTTCAATATGTAATTAGTATGTTAACTGGTGATCCTTTCATATATCAGAGGTTGCACAAATGAGTTGCTGACAGTATACAAACTCATTAATATTCTGCTAAAAAGCCATGTGCATTAATTTAAAGCTAGAAAAAATTTTATTCAGAGACAGCATGTTTCTTATATTGAGCACTTGAATCTTGTGGTAAAGACTGTGCAAAGAAATGAAATCCATCCACAGATATCATGATGTGTATTACGCACCATACAAGCAACTGAAACTCACATTTAAAGGAGGGGTAAACACTACACACATCAGCCTTGTAAAAAACTAGAATTTCTGATTCCACTGAGAATATACACTTAGAATTCTATCTTTATAAAAAGGTACACATGTTGAATAAATAAATATAAATTATGGTCACAGTATTACTTTACTTTCTAGACAATGACATGGGTTATAGGGTTACCAGGAAGACACATTTCTCACCAGAACACCTTTCATTACAATATAGGAAAATAGTACTTAATCCTTCTGGCTGCTGCAGACTGCTGGAATGCTCGCACAGTAGAAAAAATGTCACCAGATTAGTATGAATTCTTAGGTTTTTGTTATAAAATGCATTTTAATGGGAAAGCCATGAATAGATTGTTCAAAAAATAAGAAACCTAATTAAGGAACACATTAAATTTCTTATTAGTCATTCCTGAAAGGCACCTAAAAACTCATTTTATGTTTGAACATATGTTATAAAACAAATTATGAATGTTACTATAAATTAATTTACATTTAGAATTATATAGATTTAACAGATTTTTGCCTGTAGGCTCTACCAAAACATGCTTCAAGTATTTGATAAAAAGACCAAGGTTATGCATGAACAAACATCTGTTCATTCTAGTGATTCATTTTCCCCATACACAAAATCAATTGTGTGTTTATCCTTTTGTTTAACAACATGTTGTGGCACAGATATCCATACTCAAAAAAATATTTTTATGATCTGACCATTGTGACTAGATGCAGGTAAAAATTAGCTTATCTTAAATAATTACATTGAAATTGACTGTGCCAATGTTTCAGTCATTGATTTTAAATACTAATGGGCATTACTATGATTAGCTAATTGAGGTTTAGTTTATAGTTACCTGAGTGTCACATTTCCTGGCATTCCTGTTAAGGATTTCTAATAATGACTGAAAGAGCTGGAAAATATAGGCATAAAAGGCATTAGAATCACATGTAACAAATTTACAGAGTTAAATGTGAAGCAGCAGACATCGATGTGCATCATACATACAGTACAGTTTGACTTATAATACCATTATATTGCACAATACATAACATGGCACATTTCATAAAGCTACAGTTCTTGCACTGTAAACAACAGATACATTTTTACAACTATGACAAACAAAAATAATGAATAATTTTACTTAAAAATAAAATATGTCATTAAATGTTATTGCCTTGGCAAGGTCATTTTAATATCAGTTGGAAAGGATGCTGTGATAGATTGACACAACTCATAGCTGACAACTTTTCTAGAAAATATCATCTTGCAAAACATTCATGTATTCCTAAAAAATAATTTTAATACTTTACCTTGGCAATATAGTATTCTCTTTATTCTGTGAGACTGTACACATTTGGTTTTAAAAAGTGGGCCTGATCCTACTCCCATTAAAGTCAATGGAAGTTTTGTCACTGACTTCAAATGGAGCAAGTTCAGGCCTAATTTTTTTCAGAGCTGTCTTATTTACAAATATTACATCAACTGCCATTCTGTAGCTAGATTTTTTCATTTTTACCTCTCCTACGTATCACAGTGCTATGTAGCAACCCAAATATGGTATTAGACTGAGCATATAAACATATGGTAAGCATACATAAATGTTGCAGCTGGGAAAAATACTCACTATCAGTGCAACAATAAAAGGTTAAAGGAAGTCTAAATAAATCCTCCTTAAAAATAAATTATTTTAATAAAAATTAAACCAATTCAATACACGATTAAAATAGTGTAACTTTAGCATATCACTGAGATGATTTAAATACCCAACAATGCATTGTGAGCGTGCTCCTGCTACCACTGAAATCAATAGTAAAACTCTTCAGTCAAAGCAGAAATGGGCCCAATATCAGCTTCCCAAAATTTGGAAAGATACACAAAATGTAGGTGATTGTTAATAACTAGATTTTAATATAAGCTTTTAGAAAATTACTGCCTATCCTTACAAATTTGGATCCAATCATGTAAACACACACATATTTAACTTTAAGCACATGCATATACCTACTGAAGTCAATCTGCCATCTGTTGAAGTCAACAAAGTTACGGAGGTGTAGAGTTAAGCATGTGCATAAGTGTTTGCAGGATCTAGGGACTGGTTTTGCAAAAACACTTCTAGCTTTGCCCTGCTCTGAAATGCAAAATGAATTGATAAGAAACAGCTGGCTTGCGAGTTGGCTCTCGCAGTGTACATTTTAAAGGAGGAAACCCTGCTAATCTGCTATAATGCGTTTACAATACCTCTGCTGAATAACATACACCTAGTTTTCCTGACTGACTATTTAAGAAGTTCACCTTCCAGATTTTGATATGAAAAATAACAGAACAAAATCAATAACATAAGTATCTCAGCAGTATTACACAGTTTACACATTTATACCCCAATTCTGCAAGCAAAACTCCACTTGAAAGCAACAGCAATTTCACCTACATTAGGACAGCAGTTCAAGTCAGAACTACTGTGTGCTGATTATTAAACAAAGTAAAACTATAACTTGCTCATAAATATTTGGTATATGTGCATCCTTTATAGGCTTTCTGAATTTAAAAAAAATTAAGATACCGTTTATGAGAATAGATATTTTTAACAATTAAACATCTACAGAAACTGAAGTAATCAAACAGCACTCAGATGCAATCCCTTTAAGACAATTGTTTCAAATCACTATAATTAAAGTCCTTCAGAGCTGAAAATGGTTGTCATAGTTTTCATATTTCCAAAGCCATTTAAAAACTGTATTACAGTAAATCTTTTCAATCTCCATAAACAAATAATAGCATGTTATGTTTTATATGGGTAGATACTAGTCATTTTTTTCCAAATAGCAGTGCTTTAATTTGTTTCATAATCTGAATAACATTTGTATAACTGCATCTGTTACAAAAAGTATAAGCAAAAATATGTCAGAAAGCCATAACACATGCATAAAGAGATATTTGCCAAGTGTTTCTTCAATTTTCAAAAAGTGCTCCTAAATGGATAATACTCTCTCTCTCTCCCTCTCATACTAAGGCTCTTAGGAAACTGGTTAACTGAAAAATATTTAGCATTTCCTTATCAAAATATACCTCCTTATATAATTTAATCATGAACAATATAAGGCCTTGATTCTACAAGCATATGCACGCTTAGCTTTGCACACAGTGCATAGAGTTAAGCACATGCATAAATGTTTGTAGGATCAGGGCCTAAATATTCCAAATTGTTAAATACACAATAGGACTTTGATAATATGTCTAAGTATTTATTAAAATTAAAGGTATTGGAAAACTGGTTTGGAATAAACAACAACACCACCACAACCATGAGAAATTCTGTATTTGCTATTATTCCTCATGGGACTAGAAGCAGATGTAACTGAAATCAGGTGAGCAATCCTCTTCTCATGACATTTCGAGCACAGTGCTTACAGCATAACTCTCTTGAGTCTGAAGAAATCAAACAAACATTTGGACCCTTATCTGAATCAAACCAAAAACTAGAAACCTTGGGAATCATCCTGCAAGATGTGGAGCACAATCTGAAAGATGCTGAGTGCTCTTAACTCCCACTAAATTCAACAGAAGTTGAGGGAGCTCAGCATCATGCTAGATTAAGTTGCTTTGGAGATTTGACTATTATTACTAAGGTGAAAGTATACCTAAAGAACATATTCAAATGCCCATAAAACTCCATCCTAATGCAATAAATAAAGGATCCAAAACACTTAGGGCCTGATCCCAAAGCCCACATTCACATGAATAGTCTCCTCTAAAGTCAGTCATACCACTCACATGAGTAATATGTGTGGTGGGCCCCATTCCGACACACACACACAAGCATAAGTGTTTGCAGAATCAGGGCCTTAATTTGGCCCCAGTACAATTCATATTCAGCTAAACTTCTCAATAAAATTTATTGTAAAATGAAAAAATATACTGACCTTGTTCACAGTTAATAAGACACTAAATGCTGATTGAAAGGTAGATATTAACATATGTTTTAAAGTAATTTCACATCCTCTATGGCAGTGGTGGGCAACCTACACTGCTTCCCGCAGCTCCCATTGGCCAGGAACGGCGAACCGCAGCCACTGGGAGCTGCAGGCGGCCATGCCTGCAGACGATCAGTGTAAACACTGTCTCACAGTCCACCAGTGGATTATCATGACAGGCTGCGTGCAGCCCACGGGCCACAGGTTACCCACCACTGCTCTACGGTGAATTGGCATCTGGAAAAAGAACCAAAGGATGGCCAAATTGTGTTTCAAGGATGTGTACAAGCGAGACCTCAAAGAAATGGACATGGATGTGGACAAATGGAAAGATCACACTCAGGATCACAGCCTTTGGAAACAAGAGCTCAATAAAGGCCTCTGGAGTTACAAGAGGAAGAGGTCCAGCTTAGTAGAGGAGAAAAGAGCTCTCACAAGGTAGAGCCAAAGGGTTGAAACACCACCTTTAAATGTGACAGATGCGACAGAGATTCTCTCTCTCTCTCTCTCTCTCTCTCTCAGGTCTCCTTCAGCCACGGCTGCCATAAAACCAACTGAGTAAATATTTTACCTCTCAGGGATGCATACCCATGGTCTCTCGAGATTGAAGGATGCCTACTACTAATTTCACATAATCATTTTGTTAATATTTATTTTGCTCTGTCTAGATTTAAAAGAAAACATGTCTTGTCATAATGAAAGAGATGTAGGGCCTTTATGAAATCAGTGGGTTAGTGGAGTTATTTCTAATATTTTGGGCAACTTTTTTTCAAAAAGGCAGAACTCCTGCACTGGTACGTCAGCATAAACGATTCAGTTCAAACTGAAAAGCATTAAAAAGGATAGGGATGGGATGCAAAATATAATTATGAGATATTGTAATGTGTACTGAGAATAGGCTCAATTCTCAGTTTTTACTCAGGCAAATCCCCATTTGCTTCAGTGGGATTTAACAACTCAATCCTGCAAATAACTTTACTAATGTGAACAGTCCCACTGAGCCACATCAGATTTTTACATAAATATTTACAAAAAATATATTATGTAGTTTTAAAAACAAATATCAACTGAACACAAGTTTTTGAAAACCAGTTACATAGTCCAACATTTGTCAAAACGTACACACAATTAAAAACTATTTAAGAGTAAACTGGTAACACCAAGGATGGAGGTTTGTAGCCTAGATTTTCACATGTACCAGTTTTCATGTGCCTGATATGAGGATGCATACTCTATAAGCAAACATGGACTTGCAAGACTGCATTTGGACTTACACTTGCAAGCACATCCAATTTGTGTATTTGCAAATCTATTCCTTAACTGACTGTGTTTTAATGCACAAATCACAGTGCAATGGACTGTGTGGACACACTGGAATTGACACTTAACAGTATTTTGCTTCCTCAGCACTCGTCTAAACATTTTAAAATAGACAAAACGAAGTTCTAAAATGAAAACCTTTATTCTAAATTGAATTATTTTTGTAGCATGAGAAATAAACCCATGCAAAGTATCTTCTGGGCTCCACCACTCAGCATTGGTTTGGGCCCAATACTGAAGTCTTTGCTCACTGAAGTAAGGTCCCAATCTGGCAAAGTAACACACTTGAGTGGATTCCTGAGCCCACATAAAACTACACTGACATCAATGGGGCACTGAGCAGGGGTCCAAACTGTTTATGCATTTGTTGGATTGGGGGCTTACTTCAGTAGGACTATTCCAGTGAGCTAGGGTTGCAGGATCAGGCTCATTATCATATTCATCCTCTATGCTTCTAGGGCCTGATCCAAGTCATACTGGTTTTAATGGGAGCGGGACTTGGTCACCAAATCACTGGAGCTGGCTTGCTTGCTTGCACTCCAGGTTCCCAGTGATGACTAGAGCTAGAGGCCATATAAATACAGAGTTTGCTACAGATTATTCTGCAGTTGTCCAATCCATACTTTACAACAACTTCTACTATAACAACAAAAAATGTAGCAAGCTTGAGGTGGAAGATATGGTGGAACTCACAAATTACAGTAAAGGACTTGCACACTTTACTTCTTATGCTTTTTTGCCTTTGCAAAGAAGTTTGAAATGTTTTCCCCTAAATAAAGTTAGTTAAATAGAAAATATAAATGATTTATATTTATTTGTAAACAAAATTCAAAAAAATATCTTCTAGTGAAATATAAACAAGCATTTTTAAAACTAAGACTGTGACTAACTGCAGGGCAAACTGTATCTGTGAGAAAAGTGGCAAGATTACAGTGGAGCGGATAAATGACAAGGCAGAAGAGGATAACTAGATAAAATCTCAGATTCCCCGAGATCTGGTAGAAAAGCTCCTTAGTAATATTTCCAGTATGCCGAGTACAGTTTTTAGCGGAATAAAAAAAAGAGATTTGGATGGACGGGCCACACCGTACTTGCTTGCTCCTATTCCCCAGTCCTGGCCACAGAATTCCTGGCGGGCGGGAGGTCCCGAAGTCCGCCGGTGGCAGCGCCCTGGCGAACAGGAGCCCCCTGGGCTCTACCACGATACCCGCTCGATGCTCCCAGGGTCCCTGTCAGGTTCATGGCGGGAAATTCCGTCCCCAGCCGCGCGCGGCCCGTGTGCAACGCGCCCGGCAGCCGCTGAACCGGCGAGGCGGCCGAGTCGGGGAAAGGTGCTGAGGCGGCGAGGGTGGCCTGGGTCCAGGAGGGAAGGGGGCGAGGGAGCACGGGTCTCCCCGGGAGAGAGCAGGCGACGCACAACGGTCCCGCCGCAGGCCGCTCAGATGAAGTGGATCCAGGCGCCGCCCTCGGGCTCCTGGGCCGGGGAGGTGGCGGCCCGAGCGGCGCACGGGCGGCCCCGCAGCTGGTAGTTGAGCCCCTCGTTGTTGTCCCAGTACTCGGTGCCGGCCACCCGGTAGCGCACGGCGAACTCCAGCGTGCCCCCCGCGGCCGCCGCCGGCAGGTGGAAGGAGAAGCGGTCGGTCAGGCCGTCGGCGGGGCCCGGCGACAGGTAGGCGGCCGCCACCTCGGCGCAGCTGACCCAGCGGTTGAGCGTGTAGCGCACGGACACGGCCTTCTCGTAGGCCAGGTTGAGGACGCGCACGGCGCCGCGCAGGCCGGCGGGCTCGGCCCGCACCCACTCCAGCTTCACCTTGTGCCGCCGCACCCGCTCCGCGAAGCCGGGGCTGGCGCCGGGCTGCGGCGGGAAGAGAGGCTCCAGCAGCGGCGACGGGCCGAACAGCACCGGCTCCAGCTCGCCCAGCGCCGGCGGCTTCCGGGTCTTGAATAGGTCGGCGGCGCGGGCCGGCAGGGGCAGCGGCACCTGGGGCAGGTCGGCTTCGCAGAAGTGGCGCACGGAGATGAGCTCCAGGCCCAGCGAGTCGGCGAAGCGCACCGTCTTCCTGCGGGACGGGCTCTGCTGCAGGGCCGGCCGCAGGCCGCGCTCGCCGGGGGTGGGCAGCGACTTGGCTCGCCGGCGCAGCGTGGGGCTGGGGGGCACAGGAGGCACCGAGGGCTCCCGGCCGCGAGAAGGCTGGGGCTTCTCCCCGGCGGCTGCCGCTTCTCGGACCACCGGCGTGGGGGACGGCTCCCCTTCGCGCTCCGGGCTGCAGTCCCCCTTGCAGTGCTCGGCCAGGCTGCCATAGAGGCAGGCGCTGCAGCTGAAGTTCCGAGGCAGGTAGAGCCGAGGGGGAGGCGTGGGCACTGAAGTGTGCAGCGAGGTCGCCTTCTCCATGGGGGGCGAGAGGGCGACTAGGATGAGCGGGGCGGCTGCTGCTAGGGCTGAGCCGGGGTCTAGTGCATGGCCAGAGCTCTCCGTTCCGGCGGCGGCTGCTGGCTCTTCCGCGTAGCTCAGGGGCCTTGCCCCTCTGCTGGTTGTGTCGTGCAGCCTAGTGCACGATGCCAGCACGATGCCAACTGTTCGAGCCTAGTGCATGGTGCTGGCCCGCGAGTCCGGCTGCTGCTGGGACGATGTCAGAGTCTCCTGTATGATGCTTCTTGGGGAGGCTGGTGCTCTCCTCGCTCCAGCTGCTGGGTCTGGTCGGGGTCTAGGAAACGACGAGGCCCGATTATCTCGGAGCTCGAGCCGAACCTGCTGCTTCTCCTTTACCGGAGCCTAGCGTATGCTGCTGCCGGGATCTGTTCCCAGACAGCGGCATATGCCTGCGTTATACCGGTAGCACTGCGGTATCCGTTAAGATTGGGGAGAGACTCTCTGTGGCGCGCTCCGGCTCCCTAGCCGCTGCTGACGCACTGGAGTCATGCAGCAAAATACGCATCTCCGTCCCCGTGTCATCCTTTCTCCCCATCGCTACTCTGCTCTCCGTCCCGTCATCCCTTCCCTCCCACCGTCTCCTCCTACTCCACCTTCTCCCTTGTCCTCTTCCCCTCTATCATCCACCCCCTCTTCTCCGGCTATCCCCCCTCTTCCCTGGGTTGCAAGGTTCTTCCATCCACCCTTTTCCTATTCTGGGTCTTTCCTCAAGGATCTGATCCAAAAAATAAAAGAGGTGGTAGGGTTTCCCCATTGGCAGCATTACAGTGCACTGCTGTACCACTCTTCCTATCCGATCTGTTACAGAAATAGCAGCGCCAAGAACGATACAAAGCGCAGCTCTGACAGGCAAAACGAATTGATAAAAAACAGCTGGCTTGCGAATTGGATCTCGCAGTGTACATTTTAAAGGAGGAAACCCTGCTAATCTGCTATAATGCGTTTACAATTCCTCTGTTGAATAACATACACCTGCTACAGTCCAGCTAGACATTTGCGTTTGTAATAAAAGCTAAGTCCCAGTCTAAACAAGGAGATTGATTACAAAATATGAACAGTTTGATCCTTTATGAAGTTAATTAGATTAGTAAACGGTATTCAAACGAATTATACTTTAATGACGACCAGCTAGCAACTCTTTCTCACAAGAGGTTCAAGGAGCTAACGGACTACTCACAAAGATGTTTCCAATCCAGACTCTTCGCAGTACCGATTTTAATTAGTAAACAAACATTATTAAAAGTAGCAACCAGGCAACAGAATAAACACGCAATGCAAAAAACCCCTGACACATCACTCTTCAGTTTCATTTCTAAGCTGGGTTGTTTTCATCAGTAACTCCAGCACAGCTCTATTTCTAGGAAGTCTAGACAGAGGACGCTGTGGGTGATGACATTAATAATGAGACGTATCAGTGTGACAAGGATTTAGAATCTAAAAACAAAAACATGCCAGCAGAAGACAGGGCATGGTTTTCCTATTGGCTTAAACTAAAACTGTCAGCACCTCAAAGGGGAGTCATTTTTAAATGACCTCCTAGGGTTATATCCAATTTGGCTAATCTTTTTTTATGCTGGGTGAGTCATAATTAGGGAACAAAAAAAGGACTGTCCAACAGTGTTCATTATGAAGAGCAAATTCAATGTCACATTTAACTGAAGTAGCCCTGTAGTCAGAATAGGAGGATCATTTTGGGCAGTACTCATGTGAAAGTAAAACGATAACAGCAACCATTACATTTGAATGCCATTACCATATACGCCAGTATATTGACATTGTCTCCCTTTCTTGTCCCTCATGCTGCCTTCCTGCACTGGCTTCCCTCCCTCCAGTGCAATTAATGTCTCAAGGAAACAGTATGAACCCCTGCATGCTTTTTCTTTTTTGCCTGAAGCTGGGAATGGGGGACAGGCCTTGGATCACTTGGATTACCTGTTCTGTTAATTCCCTCTGGGGCACCTGGCATTGGCCACTGTGAGAAGACAGGATACTGGGGTAGATGGACCTTTGATCTGATCCAGTATGGCTGTTCGTAGGTCCTTATGTATTTTGATCTGTGAACTTAAATTTTGGAGTAAAGATTATAGAGCCAATGCCGTGATTAACATGCATTTTAGTTCCATAAAGCTTATATATACTCTGTTCTATTTATTTTTACTAATTCTTATCCCCCCCCATCATGGGAATGTTCATTTGTTGTCTGTAATTCTATAAGAAATTAAAATGATTGCTGTCATGCTTTTGCTTATGTTAATTACTTTAATTTCACAACCACTAAATTATACACATTTTATTTGTAAGATTAATAATGTTCAGTAAACTAACCCTATGCATTCATATCACCTTCAGGAGCCTCAGATTTGATAAACTAAAGGCTTAGATCTGTTAACTACTTGCACAAGGAAAACCTCGATACAAGAGGATGGGGTGATTCTGTAGGTGGCATTTTTCTCTTTGTAGCAATGTCCTAGCAACCATTCTGAGTTTGGAGATGCTGTTTATGCAATATGATATTGTCACATTCTGTGGTGCAATTCAGACCAATGAAAGGTTATGTCATTGCTTGTCCTGTAACTCAGAGTATCTTAAAACACTCGGAAGCTGTAGCTCCCTGTCTGGATGCTCCCAGCCAGCATACACTATGTTGAGCAGCCCTGGTCCAGCAGCTCTGAAGCCAGTAGTCTGCTTGTTACATCATAGTCACACTGGTTACTACCAGCTATGTGACCACAAAATATCCCCATTCTGAATTTCCCCAAATTGCCCTGAAATGTTCAAACCTCTCCTGGAACATTCAGAGGAGTTGCTCCTTTACAGAGACAAAAGCACTGTTTATTATTTTAGCTGGAATTAATAATCACTTCAGTTCAAACAAGGACGGGGCTGGTGTAAATTAAAAGTAAAACAAAACAAAGAAGTTTTAAGGGAGTTCAAGTACAAGGGATAGAGACAAAGTGGTTACAAGCAAATACAAGTAAAATACACTTTCTAATGGCTAAGACTGAACAAAGCTATAGAATTGGTTTGAGGTATATTTCTTATCAGTCTTTCTTCTTTCCAGCCGTGGCTGACTTTCTCTCAGTAAGGATCTTACACAGAAGTACAAGGTGCTGGTTTTCCTTGTCTTCCAAGGTGAAAGATCTTTGCATAAACTGGTTTCTTACCTATATTCAGTTCCCAGAAATTTAACCTGCGTTGGTTGAAGAAACCATTTTTTCAGCTTGCAAGAGATCTGGCCTCTTGAATGTCTGTCCAGTGATGGATGCCAAAATGGAGTTGTCTTGATCTTATATCTTCCAAAACTCACTGTTTTGTCCCCAGACTCAGGATGACCCCATGCTGTTCTTCCCTTCTTGGGGACTTCCCATCCCCCTGCTGATTCATATGTAAATAGGACTGCTATTGTTTTTGGTCACACCTGGCTTAATTTCATTGGAGACCAGTAGATAGCTGCCTTCCCACCTGTCTGGAAGAAAACCAGTTTCTCCCTTTCTTTGGTCACAGACTTTAAAACGTAATATCAATGAGTATTAATTCCTCATATAGTGTTAGTACATACATGTTACAATGATATTAATTGCCACTGCATCATTAGCTTTCATAAAAGACCTTACTTGATACACTTTTATAACCCAGTAATATTGCATACAATCAATTGATTCACTTAATTATCTTTTGAGGTTCAGACCCCCACAAGTGGCTATTTCTCCCACTCACTAGGTTGATGGCTTTCTTTACCTTTTATGTAAATACACCTTCACTTACTCTGCCTGATGACCAGGCTGGTCAGCCAAGCAAATACACATTTCATTGTCTAGGACAGACTGGTCTTATGCATTGCTTGTCAAAGTCATTGTAAGAACAAACAATTCTCTACATTCCCCATACATTCATTATGCAAGAATATTAATGATCAGTGAGTTAGTTTTCCAATGATATATTACTTGTAACCTTCTGGGTACATATCTTGACAACAGTGTGTTAGGTGTAGTGAAGTATGTCAGGCCTGACAAGCGTTGTTGACACAGAGTAGTGAACCACCAGTGAGCCATTGTGTTACAGATATAAAGAGACCGTGACTACTTGAGGTCATCAGAGATCGTGTAATACTTCACATGGCAGGTGTACTTAGGATTTCACCGCAGCTCTTGAAATCTTCCAATTTATTCCTCCAAAGTAAATAACCCAATCACAGAAATGAGATGAGTGAAAAAATCAGTGCCGCAAAAAAATAAGAAAAATGCCAACTCAAAAACAACTTCAGGCCAACCAGGTCATAGCAAAGTGAGAAGGAAACAAACACTATTTTAAAGCTGTTCCTCAGTGACAACGCTGCTCAGGGAATGAGTGTTAAATAAAACATTTTAAGTTCTTTTACTCTTCTCCATATAGAACCCCAAAGATCTTTTAAACTTACAAGAGAGTGAGAAGGGCTCACAAGGATGGGCATGTGGATGTTGGGGGGGGGGGGGGAATGGTGGCAGTACAATAGACTCAATAGGATAGGCTCCTGCGCCACCTCTTCCCCCGAGACCGAGACCAAGCTCCACCTCTTCCCCCCCCAAGACCCTGCCCCCCGCTCACCCCTGTCCTCCCCCTGTCACTCACCCCCCGTTCCAGCATCCCTAATCTCAGGCTGTGTCTACACTTAAAATGTTACAAGCGGCTGTAGTAAATACTTACTACAGCGACAGGAAGGGTTCTCCCACACTGCTGTAGATAATCCACCTCCTTGAGAGGCAGTACCTACGTAGACAGAAGAATTCTTCCGTTGACCTACCGTGTCCACACAGGGGGTTAGGTTTGGCTTAACTATGTTTCTCAAGGGCGTCGATTTTTCCACACCCCTGAGAAATGTAGCTATTCCAATGCAACTTTTCAGTGTAGGTCAGACATTAGATGAGTTCATAGTGCTACCTTTTCCTCCTAAAATTAGATATAAGGTGAAACAGTCATAGCCTGAAGATCACTCAGTCCACAAACTGAGATCGCTGACACCAGGAAAATGACCTTCCTTTTCGGAAACTTGAGTTCATAGGTACTAAGTAACTCAAAATGAGCTTTAATGAGTTGTGTCCGAATCACGTTAATATCCTAGGAACTTCTAGAAGTGTCAAGTAGCGCATGGAACTGACAAGGGGCTTCAGAGACATTGACCTATCTTTGATTAATTTATGGCTGGCCAAAAGAACTGCCAAATGAACCTGGCTGGAATTAAACTTTAAGGTAGATTCAGACAGATGAAGAAAGATTTTTTTCACGAGGCAAGAAAAGGATCCATTTGGGCTTGCTTGCACCATGCCAGAGACCTTTTCTACTTATAATTTTAAGACTTTCTAGTGGCTGGCTTTCAAGAGGCCACCAGAACACAAGCCAGCTTCTTGAAGACTATGACGTCATGCTCAGGACCCCGAAAAATGTGAGCTATTGTGTTACCCTTCTGCCAGAGCAAGAGTGAGAGCATTGCTTCTGCTAAGCTATATATCTGCCCCCAAATACATCACCCTGCCTGTCTTGCCAGCAAACTCTAAGACTCAGCCAATCTAAACCTTATCTTGCAGGAAACAATCAGTGAACCCCAGTGTAAGGATTATTATGACATTTAAAAAAATGAAGTTTGCTTAAGAAAACAATATATATGCTAGTAAGAAAGAAAAGGCCCTAATTCGCTAATAAAGGAAGACCATGAGAATAAGAAGTTAAGACTACAATGTAGTGTGGGAGGGATGTATGGTTCAAAAAGTAACTAATAAAATAAAGGGCAGCAGTAACAAGACAAAGAAAACCTGTCTTACAAGAAACAAACAAACCTCTCCACTGCCTGCTGGTTCACAAAGGATGGGGGAGGAGATAAGAAAGGAAAGCCTTAGGGAAAAGGAAAATAACGATAAACTGTTTCAAACCAGGTTTTAGCAAATCAGTTGAAGGGTATAAAGAAAGCCATCATCTCTAGCCCTCCAGATGAGGGATCCAGCTTTAAAAGTGCTATGCCCTCTCTCCTCTCAGTGATGGATCAGTAAACTAGCCATTTTGCTCCCCTTAAATTACTCAAAGTCCATGGTCTCCGCCTGAAGCCCCAGAAAGGGCTTCCTGGGGTGCAGTTTCTGTCCCCCAGCCTGATTATTAAACTGTCTTCTCCCACACTTGTAAACAAAACTATCAAGCTAACCTTACCTGTAAATGTATTTCTGCTTTACTCTGCCTGTAACCAACCTGGTCAGACATGTAAATACACATTCCTTTGTCTAGAGCTGGATGGATTTTATGCTTTGCCTCCCAAACACATTTTAAGAACATACTTGCAGCACACATTTATAACTCTTTGTACAACCCGTACATACAGCACACAAAGATTTTTTGGGACCAGCGTATCACCAGGTATATATTATGATGTGTTGGGGCAATGAGTGTGTCAGGCCTGATGTGAGTGTGAAAGTAAAAATCAGGCCACAAGACCTAAGTTCCAGAGCTCTCCAGAGATTGGCACTCCCAGACCAGTGGCAATGAAAGAGCCACATAAAATAAATAATAAATAATAATAATAATAATAAAAAAGAACCAGATCTGACCAGATGGTGGGAGGGCCCCTTTATCTTGTCCATTCATGATTCTGTCAAGAACGGACAAGATAGAGAAAAGATGCAAAGCACATACCCTGCGGAGAGCTCCTTTACTGACCTGTCAAGAAAATGCAGACTGGAAGGTTTCAAGAGTGGTGGTTTTAGTCTTGAGTGGCACAGTCACCTTAACAGGATGCTTGGCTTATGCCCTGACCCACAGCTGAAGTCCTCAGGGACCTTAAAGTTTATAACTTAATGAGTTCTATCTGTCTCACACTAAGGAGCACAAGAATAAGAATCCTGAACAAATAGTATCTTTTCATCCTTATATATACACACAATCTGTAGTATCTATGGTCAATTCTTCTGGATGACAAGTGCCATTTTAAAATAAGATATTACTATTATGACTACCAACAATTTGGTCAATAATATTTAATTAGCTATAATATAAAGACAGTATTAAAAAATCTGTGAAAAGAACATTGTTAAGGTCGCAAAGTCAAGCAGTCAAAAGCTTTGAAATGCCAAAATTAACGTAGCGGGGTGAGCCGGTCATTGAGAGCACAGGAGAGACAGTCTCCCTGCTTTCCGTTCTGGGGCCAGACATACACCCTGCACAGCCCACAGCAGCCCATAGTTTCAGTTGCTGCAACAAGCTCAGTGCAGACATATTCTTTGGGGAATTTAACTACTAAAATCTAAGATGCCTCAACTGTGCACATGCAAATTGCAATTTTCCAAGGCTTATAACTTGGAAAAATTTGGAAAGATCTTCACAGGACCAACAAACAGAATATTCCTGACACAAAAGACACCTCTCACCTAAATTTCAAGTCCCTGCTCTAATGCACAGAGGTACTGGAGCTTTCCAAAAAAAAGGTCACCAGCATTTTTGAAAGTGGGCAAAACAAATTATTATTCCCTAGTCTTGGTCTCAGAAACAGTTGAACCTTTTGGCTGAAATTTTCAAGAAAAATTCAGCCCAAGGCAGACACCTGGCATAGAAAATTTCAATCTAAAAACAGTTGAAGTTTGACAAAGTTAAAAGCAACAGATGCCAGGGTTGTATAACGGGAACTGTTGAGCAACCTTAATAATAGGAAGCGGTACCAGTTCTGTGAATAGATACATATCAAGGCTCAAATTCTTAGACACATGCATGTACTGTGGCACGTACAGGAACTGCATATACACAATCTGTTGTGTACACACCATTTAGGGTTTGTGGGCATAAATCCACAAATCTGTGCAAATCCTGACTTGTTCACAACTGTTGAAGATTTGAGCAGTAAGGGGTTCAAGTGTGAGATTGTATTGCTAACAAGTGGTCTGTGTCACTGTAAAGGTCAACTGCTGAACAAGCACCTTTTATAGTGATGTATTAGGACATGAGCCAGGGCACTTTTCTAAAGGATAATGTTATCAACAGACTAATTATTCAGTCACTTGTCCTATCTTGGCCCCCTTGAAGGAATGATTCATAGGGGCTAATATAGTATGTTTTTATATGAAAATAGTGTCTTTGTGGAAAATGCCATTTTAAAAAGTTTTGAATGGAACAGACCATTCAAAATACTGCAATGATTGCCAACGGTATGACAAAGAGGGTGAGTTAATATCTTTTATTGGACCAATGTCTGTTGGTGAGAGAGAGAAGCTTTCAAGCCACAAAGAAATCTTCTACAGGTCTGGAGGTGATGATCTGGTTGTATTACTCCATTATGTTCCTCATTCTCCTTGATTCCAGACACTGCAGGAGGCATCGGGTGTCAGCACTAGGGAATGGCTGCAGGATGACGCCATAGTGGGTGAGAGAAAAATGTGCCAGGACATACCGAAGTGGTCACTGCTTCATGGGGGTGCCCATTTTCAATATGTAGAATAGATTTAATTTTTGCAATTAGAATTGTAAGAAGATATACTGGATTAATGTACAAATTAGATACAGCTCTGAGATGTCACATCCCTGCTACAGACAAAGTACATTGTGATTATTTCGGATTTTGAGTTACAGTTATGGCTCTCAATATGCAAAACCAAGAGGTGAGATTCTGCTCTCATTTACATCTGTGCAACCCTAGTGATGTCAACGGGTTTACGTGGGTATAAAAGATTAGAATTTGGTCAAAGATCTTTATAACCAGAAGCTGATCAGTGTCTCTCATTTTATATGGGTTTAATATTGATATTTACATTAATAAATTGTAGATTTGGCAATGATATATTTGTACTGTGTGTGTTGGCATGTTTTTTAAAATTTCACTGGATTATTTCATTCTGAAGATTTGCTCAGGTTCTATATTGTTCAGAGAAGCATCGAGCACTGTTAAATAGTAGAATTGCCTAAGATTTTACCAGATTATGCAGCCCTATCAGAAGATGAACATTGTGTGAAACATTGTGCTGTAGTAAAAACACGTTACCCCAAATGTAGACTAGTGAATAGTTTTTTTCTAGAGGGCTACTGTAATCTAAAGAGAAATGTAGCAGATTTTTTTTAATCAGCATCCAAATAAACCAAGGAGTTTAAAATTGTCTTTTCTTATTAGAGTTAAGCTTAGCTTATACCACTGTAAATCTACCACACTGTTTTGCTTAATGCACCCTGCACAATTTTACTAGCTAAGCATTAACCCTCTGTGTCGCTTCTAAGTGATTGGCCTAAGAGTTCAGAGAGAGAAACAAAAATTGTAAGAGGTAACAAATAAGATCAATGGGGAAAGGACTAAAAACTGAGCATATTAATTCAGGAGAAAAGATCATACAGACCCTGATTTTATAAGTATTTATGCAAGCAGTTCCACTGATTTCAAAAAGACTGCTTGCTTGAGTAAGGACTAACTTACGTGAGCAAGAGTTTGGCAGGATGCCGTCCCTTACTAAGGACAGCTGCTGTACAGATTTTCCACACCCAGGCCTGAACAACTTCACCTTGATCTTGCCATCCTGACATAACAGTCCAGGGCATCCCTTGAACTGAGGCTGACATCACAGCAAATCATCTGATGATTTTGTAACCAAGGATGGGTGTCTCCAAGTCACATCCTCTGGTAATAGTGCCTCTGATTCAGAAACTCCAAGCCATACAGTATTTATCAAACATCCACATGATGCAGCAGCTCTGAATGCCTCACTAGAACAAATTAATTATCTTAGAAATAAAAAATATACTCAGTTTGGAACCAAGTAGAGTTTTCACTTTCATATTTTAACAAGACAGGTCAGGCAGCAATTCAAAACTTTCCTACACCTCACCGTGGTACAACAAAATGCAAAAAATCATTTACCTTTTCAGATTAATTTCTTAGTCTCTTCATCTTCTCATTTTTGTCCTTTGTTCTTTTCTTCTACTCTCTATTTTCCTCATGTCGTCTTGTCTGGCGCTGTTTTCCCCATACATTACTCTGATTTTCTATTAATCTTTTCTCTCTTATTATTCCCTGTCACTCTTTGCCGTGGTCTACACTAGGACTTTAGGTCGAATTTAGCAGCGTTAAATCGATGTAAACCTGCACCCGTCCACATGATGAAGCCCTTTATTTCAACTTAAAGGGCTCTTAAAATTGATTTCCGTACTCCACCCGACAAGTGGATTAGCGCTTAAATCGGCCTTGCCGGGTCGAATTTGGGATACTGTGGACACAATTCGATGGTATTGGCCTCCGGGAGCTATCCCAGAGTGCTCCATTGTGACTGCTCTGGACAGCACTCTCAACTCAGATGCACTGGCCAGGTAGACAGGAAAAGAACTGCAAACTTTTGAATCTCATTTCCTGTTTGGCCAGCGTGGCAAGCTGCAGGTGACCATGCAGAGCTCATCAGCAGAGGTGACCATGATGGAGTCCCAGAATCGCAGAAGAGCTCCAGCATGGACTGAACGGGAGGTACGGGGTCTGATCGCTGTATGGGGAGAGGAATCTGTGCTATCAGAACTCCGTTCCAGTTTTTGAAATGCCAAAACCTTTGTCAAAATCTCCCAGGGCATGAAGGACAGAGGCCATAACAGGGACCAGAAGCAGTGCCGTGTGAAATTTAAGGAGCTGAGGCAAGCCTACCAGAAAACCAGAGGGGCGAACGGCCGCTCCGGGTCAGAGCCCCAAACATGCTGCTTCTATGATGAGCTGCATGCCATTTTAGGGGGTTCAGCCACCACTACCCCAGCCGTGTTGTTTGACTCCTTCAATGGAGATGGAGGCAAAACGGAAGCAGGTTTTGGGGACGAAGAAGATTATGATGATGATGAGGTTGTAGATAGCTCACAGCAAGCAAGCGGAGAAATCGGTTTTCCCGACAGCCAGGAACTGTTTCTCACCCTGGACCTGGAGCCAGTACCCCCCGAACCCACCCAAAGCTGCCTCCTGGACCCGGCAGGCGGAGAAGGGACCTCCGGTGAGCGTACCTTTTAAAATACAATACATGGTTTAAAAGCAAGCATGTGAAAGGGTTACTTTGCCCTGGCATTCGCGGCTCTCCTGGATGTACTCCCAAAGCCTTTGCAAAAGGTTTCTGGGGAGGGCAGCCTTATTGCGTCCTTCATGGTAGGACACTTTACCACTCCAGGCCAGTAACACGTACTCGGGAATCATTGAACAACAAAGCATTGCAGTGTATGTTTGCTGGCGTTCAAACAACATCCGTTCTTTATCTCTCTGTGTTATCCTCAGGAGAGTGAGATATCATTCATGGTCACCCGGTTGAAATAGGGTGCTTTTCTTCAGGGGACACTCAGAGGAGCCCGTTCCTGCTGGGCTGTTTACCTGTGGCTGAACAGAAATGTTCCCCGCTGTTAGCCACGGAGAGGGCGGAGGGTTGAGGGGGTAGCCACGCGGTGGGGGGAGGCAAAATGCGACCTTGTAACGAAAGCACATGTGCTATGTATGTAATGTTAACAGCAAGGTTTACCCTAAAAGACTGTAGCCACTGTTTTATAAAATGTGTCTTTTTAAATATCGCTGTCCCTTTCTTTTTTCTCCACCAGCTGCATGTGTTTCAATGATCACAGGATCTTCTCCTTCCCAGAGGCTAGTGAAGATTAGAAAGAAAAAAAACGCACTCATAATGAAATGTTCTCTGAGCTCATGCTATCCCACTGACAGAGCACAGATGAATGCGTGGAGGCAAATAATGTCAGAGTGCAGGAAAGCACAAAATGACCGGGAGGAGAGGTGGCATGCTGAAGAGAGTAAGTGGCGGGCTGAAGCTCAAATGTGGCGGCAGCGTGATGAGAGGAGGCAGGATTCAATGCTGAGGCTGCTGGAGGATCAAACCAGTATGCTCCAGTGTATGGTTGAGCTGCAGCAAAGGCAGCTGGAGTACAGACTGCCACTACAGCCCCTGTGTAACCAACCGCCCTCCTCCTCAAGTTCCATAGCCTCCACTCCCAGACGCCCAAGAACGCGGTGGGGGGGCCACCGGCCAACCAGCCACTCCGCCACAGAGGATTGCCCCCAAAAAAGAAGGCTGGCATTCAATAAATTTTAAAGTTGTAAACTTTTAAAGTGCTGTGTGGCATTTTCCTTCCCTCCTCCACCACCCCTCCTGGGCTACCTTGGTAGTCATCCCCCTATTTGTGTGATGAATGAATAAAGAATGCATGAATGTGAAGCAACAATGACTTTATTGCCTCTGCAAGCAATGATTAAAAGGAGGAGGGGAGGGTGGTTAGCTTATAGGGAAGTAGAGTGAACCAAGGGGCGGGGGTTTCATCAAGGAGAAACAAAGAGAACTTTCACACCGTAGCCTGGCCAGTCATGAAACTGGTTTTCAAAGCTTCTCTGATGCGTACCGCGCCCTCCTGTGCTCTTCTAACCGCCCTGGTGTCTGGCTGCACGTAACCAGCAGCCAGGCGATTTGCCTCAACCTCCCACCCCGCCATAAACGTCTCCCCCTTACTCTCACAGATATTGTGGAGCACACAGCAAGCAGTAATAACAGTGGGAATATTGGTTTCGCTGAGGTCTGAGTCAGTAAACTGCGCCAGCGCGCCTTTAAACATCCAAATGCACATTCTACCACCATTCTGCACTTGCTCAGCCTGTAGTTGAACAGCTCCTGACTACTGTCCAGGCTGCCTGTGTACGGCTTCATGAGCCATGGCATTAAGGGGTAGGCTGGGTCCCCAAGGGTAACTATAGGCATTTCAACATCCCCAACAGTTATTTTCTGGTCTGGGAATAAAGTCCCTTCCTGCAGCTTTTGAAACAGACCAGAGTTCCTGAAGATCCGAGCGTCATGTACCTTTCCCTGCCATCCCACGTTGATGTTGGTGAAACGTCCCTTGTGATCCACCAGAGCTTGCAACGCTATTGAAAAGTACCCCTTGCAGTTTATGTACTCGCCGGCTTGGTGCTCCGGTGCCAAGATAGGGATATGGGTTCCGTCTATGGCCCCACCACAGTTAGGGAATCCCATTGCAGCAAAGCCATCCACTATGACCTGCACATTTCCCAGGGTCACTACCCTTGATATCAGCAGATCTTTGATTGCGTGGGCTACTTGCATCACAGCAGCCCCCACAGTAGATTTGCCCACTCCAAATTGATTCCCAACTGACTGATAGCTGTCTGGCGCTGCAAGCTTCCACAGGGCTATCGCCACTCGCTTCTCAGCTGTGAGGGCTGCTCTCATCTTGGTATTCATGCGCTTCACGGCAGGGGAAAGCAAGTCACAAAGTTCCATGAAAGTGCCCCTACACATGTGAAAGTTTCGCAGCCACTGGGAATCGTCCCAGACCTGCAACACTATGCGGTCCCACCAGTCTGTGCTTGTTTCCCGAGCCCAGAATCGGCATTCCACAGCATGAACCTGCCCCATTAGCACCATGATGCATGCATTGGCAGGGCCCATGCTTTCAGAGAAATCTGTGTCCATGTCCTGATCACTCACGCGACCGCGCTGACGTCACCTCCTCGCCCGGTATCGCTCTGCCAGGTTCTGGTGCTGCATATACTGCTGGATAATGCGTGTGGTGTTTAATGTGCTCCTAATTGCCAAAGTGAGCTGAGCGGCCTCCATGCTTGCCTTGGTATGGCGTCCGCACAGAAAAAAAGGCGCGGAACGATTGTCTGCCGTTGCTCTGACGGAGGGAGGGGCGACTGATGACACGGCTTACAGGGTTGGCTTCAGAGAGCTAAAATCAACAAAGGGAGTGGCTTTACATCAAGGAGTATTTCAGGCAGGACTTCACAGGCAGTTCCAATAAGAAATGGTGCACCTAAGTTATTGTTCTTTTTGGAACAAGGTGGTTAGTCTGGCCTCTGATTGATACGTGGCTAGATTTACCTCGCTGCACCTTCCTTGTGAGTGACTGCAGTGTGACCTAGAGGAATGAGTCCCCTAGATGGGGGGGGGGAGGGGGCGGGAGGAAGCAAATGAGTACAGAACAAATCTGGTCTATTTCTTGTTTTGATCCACTCCATCTATCTTTTAAATGCTTGGCTGGCAGCAGACAGTGCAGAAGGACTGCATGCCATCCACATCTCATGGCTGCCTGGCAGAAGATGGTACAGTACGACTGCTAGCAGTCCGTATCGCCTGCCCGCTCACCATAAGACGGTTCAATAGGACTGACTGCAGGACTAAAGAGAATGACCTGGTCAAGTCACTCCAAATTTAGTCCCTGCGCCCATGTCTGCCCAGGCGCTCCTGGCTGACATGGCCAGGAGCACCTCGGACATGACGAGGATGGCTACCAGTCGTATTGTACCATCTGCTGCCACAAGGCAAGGGGTTGCTGCTACTGTGTAGCAATGCAGTACCGCGTCTGCCAGCACCCAGGAGACATATGGTGATGGTTATCTGAGCGGGCTCCATGCTTGCCGTGGTATGGCATCTGCACAGGTAACTCAGGAACAAAGGCGCGAAACGATTGTCTGCCTTTGCTTTCACGGAGAGAGGGAGGGAACGGGGGCCTGACGATATGTACCCAGAACCACCTGCTGCAATGTTTTAGTCCCATCAGGCATTGGGATCTCAACCCAGAATTCCAATGGGCAGCGGAGACTGTGGGATAGCTACCCACAGTGCAACACTCCGGAAGTCGACTCTAGCCTCAGTACTGTGGAAGCGCTCCGCCGAGTTAATTCACTTAATGCACTTAGAGCATTTTCTGTGGGGATGCACACACTCAAATATATAAAACCGATTTCTAAAAAACCGACTTCTATAAATTTGACCTAATTTCGTAGTGTAGACATACCCTTCTTAAGGCAGTGGTTCCCAAACTTGTTCCACCGCTTGTGCGGGGAAAGCGCTGGCCCGGCCCGCCAGGGGCTTCTCCCCGCACGAGCGGCGGAACAAGTTTGGGAACTGCTGCCTTAAGCTGTTGTCTACACTATCTTATTTTCTCCTCCTCTCAAACTGCCCAGTTACAGATGCTATTCCTAAATGCCTTGTTCCAACATCTCTACTGCCATTCTTGACTTCCCATTCCCAACTGCACCACCTCATTGACCAACGTGAATGGATACTGATCTGAACATTCTCCATGTTTTCTCATCCAAATGTCAGTTTCCAACTACTTGGTCCTAATTGCCTGTTCACAATTGCCCAGTTCCGGCTGCCTCTCCTAGATGTCTAAAACTGAACTGCCATAGACCCTTTTGCACTCAATATTTTTTATCTAATTTCTGGCCAAAGAGGCACTATCCGAAATTTTCTGCTGTCTGTGTGAATGACAGAGAGGTAAAGGCTACCACCCTTCGTGTAGGCCAATTACAGATGGAAATGTTTACTAGGGACAAGGATGAGGCCACCAAGTACTTTTTCACTTCTGCCCTACATCAAGTTTTGAACCCAGCTCTTCAGAGGTGGAAGGCCCAAGTGCCCACAATGAAGAAATGGGACTGGAAAAAGCTGTTCAGAAAAAAAGTTGATCCCACAAAGAGTCCTTGGCAACAGTCTGCGAAGTCTTGCCTATTGGGAAGGGGAGACTTCATCCCTGGACAGTCATTCCAAGGAGTTTTCTAAGTATCCTTCTCTTGCAATGTGGGATTTTGCTGCATGTGTTTCAGTGCAGCATTTACATGGCATCATGATTTGCTGAAATCTTTACCCACAGTCACAGCCTGAGTCAACCCTGTGCTGGGCTGAGGTGACATCACGCTATGGGGGCATCTGTGCAGCTGCCCATCCTGCAGCACAAACAAGGAATAATGGCCAGCGGGATGGCCCAGGACTATGACCTGGAGCATGGTGGGCTGGAGGTGCAAACTTAGCTTTGACAGGCCAAGCAAGCATCTCTCAGCTAGACCTTTTGGCCCTTTCTGTGGTGGTTGGGAAAGCTGAAGCAGACCAAGCTTCAAACCAGCATCCCCCTCCACCTTCTCCTCTGTTCTCTTGCTTCCTCAACCCTCCATCCTCTACCTTACATGCCACTGCCCCCTTCCTCAGCTCTGCCAACTACTCCAGCCCTCCCCCCACTGCCTTCCCCCTTCTCCTGCTTCCTCATCCCTCCATCCCTACCCCTCCTGCCGCTGCCTCCTCCCTCAGCCCTGCCAGCCACTCCAGCCCTCCCCCCACTGCCTTCCCCCTTCTCCTGCTTCCTCATCCCTCCATCCCTACCCCTCCTGCCACTGCCTCCTCCCTCAGCCCTGCCAGCTACTCCAGCCCTCCCCCCACTGCCTTCCCCCTTCTCCTGCTTCCTCATCCCTCCATCCCCTACCCCTCCTGCCACTGCCTCCTCCCTCAGCCCTGCCAGCCACTCCAGCCCTCCCCCCACTGCCTTCCCCCTTCTCCTGCTTCATCCCTCCATCCCCTCCCCCTCCTACCACTGCCTCCTCCCTCAGCCCTGCCAGCCGCTCCAGCCCTCCCCCCACTGCCTTCCCCCTTCTCCTGATTCCTCATCCCTCCATCCCTACCCCTCCTGCCACTGCCAGCCACTCCAGCCCTCCTGCCACTGCCTTCCCCCTTCTCCTGATTCCTCATCCCTCCCCCTCCTGCCACTGCCTCCTCCCTCAGCCCTGCCAGCCACTCCAGCCCTCCCCCCACTGCCTTCCCCCTTCTCCTGATTCCTCATCCCTCCATCCCTACCCCTCCTGCCACTGCCTCCTCCCTCAGCCCTGCCAGCTACTCCAGCCCTCCCCCCACTGCCTTCCCCCTTCTCCTGCTTCCTCATCCCTCCATCCCCTACCCCTCCTGCCACTGCCTCCTCCCTCAGCCCTGCCAGCCACTCCAGCCCTCCCGCCACTGCCTTCCCCCTTCTCCTGATTCCTCATCCCTCCATCCCTACCCCTCCTGCCACTGCCTCCTCCCTCAGCCCTGCCAGCTACTCCAGCCCTCCCCACACTGCCTTCCCCCTTCTCCTGATTCCTCATCCCTCCATCCCCTACCCCTCCTGCCACTGCCCCTCCCTCAGCCCTGCCAGCTACTCCAGGCCTCCCCCCACTGCCTTCCCCCTTCTCCTGATTCCTCATCCCTCCATCCCTACCCCTCCTGCCACTGCCTCCTCCCTCAGCCCTGCCAGCTACTCCAGCCCTCCCCCCACTGCCTTCCCCCTTCTCCTGCTTCCTCATCCCTCCATCCCCTACCCCTCCTGCCACTGCCTCCTCCCTCAGCCCTGCCAGCCACTCCAGCCCTCCTGCCACTGCCTTCCCCCTTCTCCTGCTTCATCCCTCCATCCCCTCCCCCTCCTGCCACTGCCTCCTCCCTCAGCCCTGCCAGCCACTCCAGCCCTCCCCCCACTGCCTTCCCCCTTCTCCTGCTTCCTCATCCCTCCATCCCTACCCCTCCTGCCACTGCCTCCTCCCTCAGCCCTGCCAGCCACTCCAGCCCTCCCCCCACTGCCTTCCCCCTTCTCCTGCTTCCTCATCCCTCCATCCCTACCCCTCCTGCCACTGCCTCCTCCCTCAGCCATGCCAGCCATTCCAGCCCTCCCCCCACTGCCTTCCCCCTTCTCCTGCTTCCTCATCCTCCATCCCTCCCCTCCTGCCACTGCCTCCTCCCTCAGCCCTGCCAGCCACTCCAGCCCTCCCCCACTGCCTTCCCCCTTGTTCTGCTTCCTCATCCCTCCATCCCTACCCCTCCTGCCACTGCCTCCTCCCTCAGCCCTGCCAGCCACTCCAGCCCTCCCCCCACTGCCTTCCCCCTTCTCCTGCTTCCTCATCCCTCCATCCTCTACCCCTCCTGCCACTGCCTCCTCCCTCAGCCCTGCCAGCTACTCCAGCCCTCCCCCCACTGCCTTCCCCCCTTCTCCTGCTTCCTCATCCCTCCATCCCCTACCCCTCCTGCCACTGCCTCCTCCCTCAGCCCTGCCAGCCACTCCAGCCCTCCCCCCACTGCCTTCCCCCTTCTCCTGCTTCCTCATCCCTCCATCCCTACCCCTCCTGCCACTGCCTCCTCCCTCAGCCCTGCCAGCCACTCCAGCCCTCCCCCCACTGCCTTCCCCCCTTCTCCTGCTTCCTCATCCCTCCATCCCTACCCCTCCTGCCACTGCCTCCTCCCTCAGCCCTGCCAGCCACTCCAGCCCTCCCCCCACTGCCTTCCCCCTTCTCCTGCTTCCTCATCCCTCCATCCCCTCCCCCTCCTGCCACTGCCTCCTCCCTCAGCCCTGCCAGCCACTCCAGCCCTCCCCCCACTGCCTTCCCCCTTCTCCTGCTTCCTCATCCCTCCATCCCCTACCCCTCCTGCCACTGCCTCCTCCCTCAGCCCTGCCAGCCACTCCAGCCCTCCCCCCACTGCCTTCCCCCTTCTCCTGCTTCCTCATCCCTCCATCCCCTCCCCCTCCTGCCACTGCCTCCTCCCTCAGCCCTGCCAGCCACTCCAGCCCTCCCCCCACTGCCTTCCCCCTTCTCCTGCTTCATCCCTCCATCCCCTCCCCCTCCTACCACTGCCTCCTCCCTCAGCCCTGCCAGCCACTCCAGCCCTCCCCCCACTGCCTTCCCCCTTCTCCTGCTTCCTCATCCCTCCATCCCCTCCCCCTCCTGCCACTGCCTCCTCCCTCAGCCCTGCCAGCCACTCCAGCCCTCCCCCCACTGCCTTCCCCCTTCTCCTGCTTCCTCATCCCTCCATCCCCTCCCCCTCCTGCCACTGCCTCCTCCCTCAGCCCTGCCAGCCACTCCAGCCCTCCCCCCACTGCCTTCCCCCTTCTCCTGCTTCCTCATCCCTCCATCCCCTCCCCCTCCTACCACTGCCTCCTCCCTCAGCCCTGCCAGCCACTCCAGCCCTCCCCCCACTGCCTTCCCCCTTCTCCTGATTCCTCATCCCTCCATCCCCTCCCCGCAGGCTGTTTGTGTCGCACCTCGCACCCCATTGCTCATGCGCTCATTGCCGCGCTCCGCCCCCTCCCCCCACCGCGTCGCCCAGGGTAACGGCTTCGGGGTGGGAAGGGGGCTGCGAACAACCGCAGTGGCCTGCGCGGCTCCATCTCCCAGCGCCCCGGGACCGAAAGGTGGCGGGGGGGGAGCAGCACGGGGGGCAGGGTAGAGCCCGGGAATGGGGGGAGGAGAGGGGAGCCTGAGAATGGGGGGGGGGGGGGAGGCCGAGGGGGAAGCGCGGGAAGGGGGATGTAGGTGGAAAGGGGCTGGGGGGAAGTGGCTCAAAGAGTAGCCTAAGCTAAGGGACTGGCATAAAATACCCAATTCTGGTTCTTTAGTTAAAAAAATCCTTTTGGGATTGGGTCTTCAGGGAGCTCAGTGGTGCAGCAGCCCTAAACTCCTTGCATTAAAATTAGGATATCTGAACAATAATTGCCAGATAGATTATCTAAGACATAGATCTTTTTGCAGCTTTAAAGGGTAGAAGCTTGGGGTGCTGGGACCATGATGAACTCCTCCAAGAAGAATGAAGTAGATTTAGAAAAAAGCATTACCAATAAAAAAGCAGAGGAAAGCAAGTGGCAATGTATCTACCCAAATGAGAGGAGAGAGAGGAATCAAGTTTATACTCTTCTTGACATCAGCGAGAATGTATTTGAACAAGATGAAAGGTCCTTGGAATATGTCATCAGGACAGGATGGGAGGAAGCTGTAAGTTACATTTTATGTCTTGAAAAATGACTTAGCCAAAAAAAATTCTCAAATGCAGTTTTGGAATATTAGCTAACAATGGCTATTTAAAAATTCATTTGTTTTGATACAATGTAGTTTGAAAAGTCAGCAGATACTGCTCTGGATACCTTAAAGCCTCTAAACCAGAGTCAAAGTTGAGAATGGGGGAAAAATCATGACAAATCAACAGTTGATTGTTTTAAACAAGATATTTAACACTACAAATGTTTAAAAAAACACCAAAAGGCTAGGAGCTTCAAAATAGTTGTAGGGAGCTGTTTAAAAAGCAGAGGTAGCTATGGAGTAACTTTAAGAACATACTGAAAATATTGTTTAGGGTTTTATTCTTAAACTAAACAGAGATCTAGTTTGTTACAGCTGCAGATTAGTCAGAATGAAATGGAATGTCTGTCACTGTCTTGTAGCATAGACATATGGAATACCGAAAAACCTCACTAAACCTCCAAGTAAGTTCCTCTCCTGTAGCTCCAATGAAGTTGAATAGAAGGAATATTAATAGTGGTTAGTATAAATGGTACTCACGTTTGAAGTAATCCTGATTAAAGCTGCTTGTTGCCTTTTTACCTACAAAAAACAGATGAGATTCTTGAAGAAAAGGCAAGTAGGGTTGTGATGGTTCAGATGCCTTAAGAATTTGGTGTACAGTATTGATTATATCAGAGTAGTAAATAGTTCATCTGGGGGGACAGTTCTCTTGTGTCACAGAGGGAAATGGCTTTTGAGGCTTCTGGTTTCTGTAGTTTTAAGATTATGAATTTTTTAGAATGACTGTGTGAGTACAATAGGTTCAGGTCTTCCCATTCTAGGGTAGGGTTACCATATGTCCAGGTTTTCCTAGATATTGCCTCTTTTTTTGAGCCTCCATCCTCTGTCCAGGTGGATTTTTCAAACAGGAAATATCTGGGATTTTTTCAGAGCAGATGCTGCAGCTCAGAAAGAGCCCTGATTAGACCGCTTCCTGATTGGTATCTCCCCTGCATCAGCAGCTGTTTGGTCCATTCCCTTGCAGACAAAGCTGCCAGATCCTGTCCACCCAGGCCTAGGGAGGGGGTCCATAGGGAGGCACTGTCTGTGGCTGCATCCTGGGCTTCTGCCAGCTGTCCTGCCACCATGACAGGGAGCGACTCTGCCCCCCACCTCCAGTGAGTACCACTGACACAGGTATCCCCTACTGCTCCTCCAACTGTACCTCCCGCCAGTTCCCCCTTCCCCCTCCCAGTGTCCTCTTTTGGGGAACCTGAAATATGGTAACCCTATTCTAGGGGGGCTTAGAAGGTTAAAAATAACTAAGATAAACAACTGTTTTCTATCCAATGTTAGGTGTGGACATACACCAAAGACATTCTTGTGTTAAAGTTGTCTTCCTCCTCCCCCTGCAGTAATGCAGTCTTCTAGACTGGTTTCTTGTAACCTATATTTAGGGCAGGCATATCTGTATAGAAAAGCGGTTTTTGTGGTTAGGAATACAGTTAGTGGGGTGAGGATGGTGTTGGATAGTCCGATTATTTTGTTGTAACTTCTTGAGTTGAGTAGATATTTCTAGGTCTAAGTTCTCTGGTACCTGCTGATATAACTGAAAAGCTAAGACTTTCTAAACTTTAAAGGTGTGATCTACAAAGCTTAGGTGTCTACGTCTTGTATGCAGCACTTCTGCACTCCATGAAATTCCTGCTTGGCTGCCACCTAACCCTGGAGACTAGTGGTTTTCAACTGGGGGTCCACAGACTATGTCTCAGGGGTCTGCGATAGGTAACTATGAAAATTAAATTTCAGATCCCAGGAAAGGCACTCTGTTTTTCTGACCAATCAAAAGTATGTGAATACCCGCACCCACAGGTCAAAACCTGGAAGTATCATCATTACCATAGAAGCTCACAGTTCAGCGCCCTTTCTCACGCTGCATCAAATGCTGTGCTGAGCATGTGCAACGTTTATAATTGAATTCTATTCAGTCAGTTTTCAGTCTAAGACTTCTATGGTAGGGGTCCGTGGACCACAGGTTGAATTTCCAAAGGTGAATTTCTAAAGTACAATGTTGGGGACTAGGAGAGAGACACTTCCATTTGAAAACTTGTAGGGGGCTGCAGATGAAAATAAGGTTGAAAACCACTGCTGTAGATGCTTAAGCCAACTCTGCCTAACTTTCCACTGTAAAAGTTCCCTAGATGCTTAAGTTTTTAGACTCTGGGGCATCCAGGTGCTTATCTCCTACCTCGGCCCCAAAGTGATTCACAAGCCAGGGGAAGGTAGGTATTTGGCTGCATAAATCAGGTCTGGGGCCTAAGCAGCTAGGTGGCCTTTGAGCATGACTCCCAGATCAGGTCCCATTCAAATTCATGTCTCTTCCCACTCATTGCTTTTTAATGTAAATGGTTCTCTCATAATATAAGCAAGTCTTTCCCACTTCCTTGCACTTTGGACTGTGGCGCAAAAAGAAGCTTTTCTCTTCTCCCAGATTGGTTGCGAAATCACTTCTCTGTGTAGGTGATGTGCTTTTTGTGTCCTGTTTCCACCTCTAGTTTATGGTCACTACTTCTATGTTTGGTAAGAGTCTGTCTTAAATTTTCAAATTTAATTATGCAGAGGTAGGCTGCTAGTGTAGAGCTCTGAAGAGGGATCTTGTAAAATGGTATTTAAGTTTTTGAGCTCTTAATTTTAAGCAGTCAGTAGCAGGTGATGTGGTTTTCTCCTCTCAACTGGAAGGTTGTCCTGTTGAAGCCTGCAAGAGATTAATATTAGTGAATCAAAAGCTAAGTAAAATCCACTCCTAGTCAGCAGTCTAGTTGTCAGCAGTGGAACGTATGTTGTTTTGATTGTTTGATTGAAATGGCACTAGAAATGCATTTGTTTTGTACATGGATCATAAAAGAAACATCACAATTCTGTTCTGTACTCAGTTTAGTAAAGAAGTGGAAACTAAGGAAAGCTATAGTAATCTCTCAGATCCAAGACTTTTGGAGAAAGAGAACATGTTTTTCTTTTAAAGTTAATATAATGTAATGGAAATTGGATTTTTCATGGTCTTGGATATCGTCTCTGAGGCTTGCAGTGTAGGACTCTGTAGAACAGCACTGCAAGCATAAAACTAAAACGGGGATGAAAAAAATCTGTGGAGTCTACTGGTTTTCCTGTCAATAAAAAACTTCTTTGAATACAGGGTTTTTTTAAGTGGGCCTGGCTAAGAATAAAAAACTACTTGTTAATTTGGCCCAAACAAGAAACCTAAGTAGCATCATAAATGCTATTAGTTAATAATTACTGTTACATTGTACATAGTTAATTTTTTTTTTTTGTGAAGAAGCAACTAGTATTTAGATTTAACATATTTCTCTGTTCCCAGGTACAAGGCTGGGGTAAAGCTGCTCCGTTTGCTTGCGTTCAGTTGCAAAAGCAAGCTAAGAAATCAAGGGCAAATGAAACCGTCAACAGTTGCCTGTTTTGCTTAGATATGAGGCAAACTAATGACAAAAGTGAGAGCCAAGAAACCAAGACTACAAGAGATCAATCAAAATCTGTTTGCAAATTAAGCACATGTGCTATAGATGATACCGTTTCAGAAAAGAAAGAGGTTCCAGTCCATTTTAGTGAGTCTTCCAATTGTTCTACAACAGATGGAACTAAGGGAGAAAGCTGTAATGGCAAGTTGTGCTCTATTCAAACATTTCAAGGTGAAAAGAAAAGTTTGCCAATAAAGGAATACAGTATATGGCACCCAGAAAAAATGAAAAACCCAGAAGCCCTGAAAAGTAAAGCTGTAAAGACCCCTGAGCCTACCATGCCTGCTCCAGATAGTTCTGAATCTTCAAACTTAAAGTCTTTGCTGGTATTGCCACCAGTGAAAGATGCAACTCCAAAAGATAGTGCAGATCCTTCTTTTAAGAAGAATAAAGCAGCTATCTCCCAGGCAAATCAGAAAATGCTCCATGCTACTTCAGCTGAGACTGCTTCCAGTAGTAAGGGTACTAAAACAATAGAACAAAAGGGGGAGAAACAAACTGACTGTATCATTCATGATACAGTGAAGGAGAAACAAATTCACGAACCATCATCCTTTGTCCCAAAGCTTCCAAAAGCATCATTCCTGCAAGAAGGCCCTGAGCAGTTACACTGGCCCTGTGCTCTTTGGCCAGATAGAAAAATTATAACCACTTCTAATTCTGTTTCTTTGAGAAAGTACAGTCATCTTGGTAACATGCAGTATCTGCATACAAAAGGAATACAGTACACAAAATATGATGAGATCAGAGGTCCTTTCACCAACAGTATTAAAAACAGAAGTCTCTCAGAGGCCAAGCAAGGAAATGAATCAAACACACAAGCGGTGCAACTGCTTCCTGGACTATTCCCTTCCTTAACGGTCAGCCATGTTGCAATAACCGCAATGTCTTCTAGACTGACCTAACATTTTTATACTGTAACTTCATGTCATTTTCTTCTATTTGTTTGAACTCATTATATGATGAGAAAAAGATTGAAGATACATTGTACTTGGGCTCCTTGTGAGCAGAGACTGTCCATTTGTTAATTTCTGTAGGTGGCTACTTATATGTATCAGTTATAATACTATGCGTTACTTCCAAATAATTTAATTTCCAGTTTATAGATTAACTATCTCTGTCTATGGTAGACAGTATGCTAAATCCCCATTGCCCCATATTAATTTATTTAAAGTTCTACTGGAACTAAATGCATTCACCTCATTCAGGTGCAGCCCTCATGAACAATTAGACTGTGGGGCAAGCTGGGATGCGAATCTATCCCACACCAGTCTGCCCTGCTCTAAACTATCCATGTACACCCTGCTGCTATATGTTAAGTTTGTCAGAGTGCTTTGAGTTAGTCCTCCTTAGCTCAAAGCACTTTAACAATCGTTAATGCACACAGACAGTTAAGAGCATGGCAGGCTAGTGTAGCATAGATTCAGACTGTGGCAAGCTGGGATGTGAATATATGCTACACTAGCCTGCCATGCTCTTAACTGTCCATGTACACCCTGCTGGTATATGTTAAGTTTGTCAGAGTGCTTTGAGTTAGTCCTCCTTAGTTCAAAGCACTTTAACAATCGTTAATGCACACAGACAGTTTAGAGCAGGGCAGACTGGTGTGGGACAGATTCGCACCCCAGCTTGCCCCACAGTCTAATTGTTCATGCAGACAAGGCCGAAGTATGGTCATGGGGTACCTGGCTCAACAATGCATTTTAGCACAATCTTGAGTTCATCCCAATTCAGCAAGCCATTTAAGAATGTTCTTTATTTTAAATATGTGCTTCAGTTTAATAGAGATCCATGGGGCTGAATATTTGCTTAAATGCTTTGCAGAACTGGGACTTAAAAGAGCAGCAGAACTAGTCAAGTAGCCCCAGGAACAGCAGCTCTTTCACAGTGGCATGGTTAAATGTTCACTTACCACCTTTCTACTTATTGATTTAAGTACTATTAGTATTTTTTTGGGTATGCTTCCTTGTTTTGTTTTCATGTTTTATTAACAGAGGCCAGACTCATCTGTTATTAAACAGAGGGACTTGGATATCAAGTTTTGTCTGTGTTAAATGTACATTTCATTTTGATTAATTAGCTGTCACAGTTTCCTCCATAAAATACAGGTTAAATTTGCATTCACAATTTAGAATAGCTTCGATAAAAGTTATCCACATTCAAAATGACTGCATGTTTCTCAGTAGTCAAAGATTTCCTGTGACTGGCAGCCACTTACTTATTCTCTCCCCCTTTTTGATGCATTTGACAGTAACTTGGAAGTAATAGGGACGATAATACGAGTTCCCAATTATCACAAGTTCCACTCTTACGCCAGAGCTCTAAACTTACCATCTAGCTGATTTAAGATTCAGAGAATCAGTCATAGGAGATTAAAGTTAAATCCAGAATTCATATTTTTATAGTATGATACTTTCAAAGCCGTTTACAGACTTCTACATATTAACTATTTACTCACCCTCATGTATGCACTGCTTTAGATCCAGAGAGAGAAAGCAAGCTCTTTCTAGGCAGTAACTAGAAGCAAAGGCTAAGTAATGAAAGGACTTCTTTATTTTAAAAAACTACATGAAGAAATTGCCCACTATTGATGTGCAGTAACCTCTAGGGGAGAAATACAGCAGCCCTTCAACAACACACATCACTGTTGCATAATAGTTTAGGGCAGATGTGAATAATGCTGTTTTCCAATAGAAGTTATTGTGGGAATTAAAGCAGAGTGCAATGGCTTATGTCACTACTGTTTATTTGTGAAGTGGTCAGGCCTTCTATTTGATCTTGAACAGCTGCAAGAGATCACTTGAAATACAATATAGTGGTTCTAGTGTGGAGGGAAGAGTGCCACCTACTGAATGTTCAGCTAGTTGTGGTGAGAGGGGAACCCATACCACACTAGGTGTTAGGTATTCAGCTGTAACTGGAGATGAATTAATGCCTTTTTTAAAAAAAAAATTCCTTTATTTTACTTCCTTTTCCTGAAGAGTGATTGTGGAAAATAAGCCCCTTTGACAGCAGTCACTAGTGGCAAATTCAATACCTTGCGATAAATTTAGAGAATACATAGTTCTAAGATAATTATTTATATGAGTTTGGGTCAGGAGTAGTGGGGTCATCCTCAAATGGGAACAAAATCATCAGTTAGATAGCCTGGCTTTTGCAGAGTATACTGGGGCAAAATTACTGAGCCATTATCTCTTATAAGACCTGATGTTTTATTTCAACGAGGCTTTAGCCTGAATATTGACTATAGGGTTTGTCCCTGTATTTCCAATGTAAGATTCCTTCCTTCCTCCCTCACCTTTCCTTAAACATTTAGAAGAGTTCTTTTTATAATGGCTAGTTTTGAAGACATCTGATATGCTGTGGTGCTTGTTTACTGGTAGAAGTTGTAGACATATGTGAACTACCACAAGAAAGATACATTTAACTAGAAATCTAGCCAGGACAATGAAAATAAATTCTTCTTACCTACATTCCATTCTGTGAAGTAATGGATTTTTTGGTGCATCTGGCATAACAGAAGATGTGAGTGCTTTGTATTATAACTTTAGATCACAAATACTGTAGCAAGATAGTTCATTTTTCCACTTGGTGCTCTCATGCTTTTAAAACAGGAATGAGAATACACGGTTATTTATTCAAAAACAGAACTGGCTGTAAATAGTCTTAATGATTTCCACCACTGTTTTTTAGAGGAAATATCTATTGTATTTTGTTTACAAGAATCAAGGCAGTAGAAAGTCCAGGGGTCTGTCTTAACTATGCAATTTTATCACAGTACTACAGTTGCACATGTATGATAATAGCGGTCAGAATAGAGACATCATTCGGTAGGTCAGTTATCTCTCTCTCCCCCCAACATCCATTTTATAATAGACTAACTCATTTTACAATATGTGCCCTGTTCTATATCTGCACTTGTCTTGTGCTTTTAGGTAGAAACACCCTAGCCAGAAGGACAACAGATGCAATCTGCCTTATTTTTATGGTCTTAATTAAAAGTAGCAGTGGTAGTAAATTCTCTAGTGATTTATACCATAACACTGTATTTAAATGTAAAATATCCTTTTCTCTAGAAATAAACTGACATTTATGTGAGCAGAGATATTTAAGATATATTTGAATAAGCACTACAAGTAGGATGCTGGTGTCTCTCTACTAGTCCCCAACATTGTACTTAATTTTAAAAATATGCTGTAAAAGAAACATCAGAAAACCATTAAGACTAAATTAGATCCTTCACAAATAACCAAAACATGTAGAAAGAGCGAATCAGTCCAAACATCTGCTTTCCAGTCTTCAGACAGTACTGTGTACACTTTTCACTAGATAGCACTATTTAAACATTATATAAGGACCTGTGAAATTACTGACATTTCCATGGCCTGAAAAGAGAAAAGGTGGTGTCTATCAGACAATTGAAAACACTGACGCTTCAAAGAGAAAATAGAAAAATGACTGATTAGAAGGAGAAAGCCACACCATCCATGTTCAGTATAGTAATTAAATAAACTTGCATTAACTGGATGTCAGCACTACTGATAGTAATTTATTTGACAGATGATAGGAAAAAGACACTGGTTACAGCAGAAAGTTATGAGCCTAGCTTCTGCAACATCTAAGTTTTATGGGTGTATTAGATAAAGAATGACTAAAAATATCTGTAAATTCATTTTTAAACACCTTGATTTTTTCCCTAACTTTTGTATTTCATTTTCAGCAAGAGTATTTATTGTATTTGTGATAATTAGTTTCACATTCACACCACCTCCCCATTCTTGTAGATCTAATTTAGATTTTATAAATTTATTAGGCATTTTAATTGCAGCTTTGGTAAACTACATGTAACACTTATGAATGCAAATATTTAAAAACTCCAAACAAAAACAAAGTAAAGATCAGAAAGGCAAAAGGACATTAATTTCCTACAGTTAGAGAGTTTGACTAGCACCTTCCATTTTGGTCAGAGAATTGAGACAGGGAGAAAAGGGGGTAATAAATGTGCCAACCAAACCTCAGGATAACATCAAACTGTGTAGAGGCCAAAAACTGCTCAGTTACTTATTTATATCATTATAAACAGCAAAATTTGGCACTAAGATGTTAAGAATTGTTACAGCTACTCTATAGCACTCATTTTTCAGAGACAGCAGGCCAGATTCCAATGTCAATTACCTCCAACTGAAAAAAAAATCAAGAATTTTTTACGTTAGAAGTATTGCACACTGTAAGCCTGTGACAGAACCAAGACTAAAACTCAGCTCTTTTGCCTCTAAATCCTTTTCTCCAACCACAGAACCACCCTTCCTTCCCTCCACTGTCTTCTGTGGAGTTGTTTTGGATTTACGGTGGTAAGGCTGAGATCAGAATTTGGCTCAGAGAGTAGAATGCAATTGTAGCTGCGTGGGTGAACTTGGAGACTGTGCTAAGGTGCAGAACACCACAAGAGTTTCTCTGAGTGAGTTTCAGCTTCCTAGACAATTGCACTTACAGATGAGGATTTCATGGCAGATCAGAAAAATTCAAGCGAGCCTTTGCAAAATTAACCTCGGGTTGATTTGGGTTGGAAGGAAAAGTTTTTCTTTTGCAGGACGATATGAGATGTTGAAAAGTCATGGAAATCTGTGAAAGTCATGTCCCTACATAACTGCCCCAAAACGTGCACAACAGTCATCTCTTTATATGACCACAAAAAGGATGAAAAGGACCACAAAAATGTCTCTGCAGATTTAGGACTTGCAGGAAGAGCTGAAAATAACTTTTATAAGGGAGGTCAAGAGTAAAAAAGTCCTTAGTAAATTTCAGGTGCTTTGATTCTAAAGAGCATTTGAAGAATTATAATCAATTAATATCAACACCACAAATGTACTTAGCTACTGCATTAATGATTTTTATTTTTACTATTATAAAATCCACTTATATTAATGTGCATTTAACATGCTTTTGTACCTCCAGGTAAAAGGCTGCTGTAAAGATGCTCCCTTCACCTGCTACCAAGTACAAAATAAGTCTAAAAAACCAAAGACAAAGGAAACAGTCACTCACTTACCTCACATAGATATAGCACCATCTACCAAAAAAGAATTGGCCCAGGCAACCAAGTCTATAAAAGATCGATCAAAGCCTAATTGCAAATTAACTACACATGCTGTAGGAGATACAGTTTCAGGAAAAGAAAAGGTTCCAGTCTGTTGCAGACACTCTCTCAATTTTGCTCCTATGACAGATAGCACTAAAGGAGAACGGAGTAATGGCAAATTGCATGCTACTCAGACTCTTCAAGGTGAAAAGAGTACCAAGAACTTGCCAAGAAACAAGTACAACAAAAGGCAACTGAAAAAGATCATAAAAAAAGCCCTGAAATGTAAAGATATGAGCCTGCTACATGTAAGCCATGGTAATCCTCATGAAAGCCTGAGATGTATGACCTTAAAGACATTACTGGTTCTGCTTCAGCTGAAAAAAACAGCTCCCTGTTTCTATCTAGAACCTTCTGTTAAGAAGAGGAAAGCAATGTCCATCCGGGGAAATGAGAGAAGTCTCAATACTGCTGCAACTGAACCTGCTTCCTATATCATAGTACTAAAAGCAAGAGGGTGAAAAGTGACTTGTTGACAGCATGAACAATACAGAGATGGATCAAATAAAAATCAATGCACCACCTTTTTTGGTCCCTCACTTCCAAATGTCTCATTCTTCGAGAGATTTCACATGTCTGTTCTGCAGTAGGTGTTTGGGTGCTCCAATGCACAGTTTTTACTCTGTGCTTTCTCTCTCACACACACACCATGTAGGCATAAAGAGCTAAGCTGCCAGAGACCCTCTTCAGTTCCTTCCTACCACCCGTGACAGTTTAAAGCTCCCGGTCCTTGCTTCTGCAAGTCTTTACTTGATATCTGTATATAGGACCTGTAGATAGTGTTGTGAATTTAAAAAATAAGTTTTTGTGGTTTTGTGTGGTTCTGGCAACCAGTTTGGTGCTGGGCCCAGTATTGGTGATATGCCATGTTCTCCAGATTTCAAGCTCTGCCACTCTTGTGGCAAGACAATGCCTAATAGTGACCTTCACCCCAACTGCCTTGAGTGCTTGTGGGAAGCTCATGTGAGTGACAAGTGTGGCGTTTGTAAGGTTTTCAAACCCCATTCAAAAGATAGACCGGGCAGCCAAATTAAAATATCCGCCTACTGAATTGGTACTACGGCCTCCATCTCACTACTCTACCTCGGTCAGGGTACCCATCACAGCTGTGTCAGTCAGTAGTATATTTCCAGTCTACTGATACTGAGAGGCAGATCGGCCTCACAGGTGCCAATGAAGAGACATTGGAAATTGGACTTGGTACCAGGGTCCTCAAGAGACTCAAACAGGATAAGGTCCTCTAAAGACTGAGGAGGGTGTTTAAAGGAGGAAGCACTTCTAAACAGGAGAGTTCATTGAATCCAAAGCCCAGCGTAGGCCTGTTGAGACCAGCTATTGGAGCACCTTCATTGGCATCTCCTTGTGCCATGTGTCTTCCCAGTACCATATACTCCTGAGGTGTTTGATGCCATCAGAGAGTTGTTGAAACTCTTGGTGCTGCCATCACCGGTTCAAGAGACTCACCTGACACCATTGGCTAAGACACCTTTCAGCACCTTCACCTCCTCACTGAGCAGCTCCAGGGTGCCAGTTAGGCTAGCACCATCTAGGGGAAAGCCACAGATCTCCCAGGCACCCCTGTCTTTAGGGTCTGAGCTTCTTCACTGGCACCAATCGGCATGGCATCAGCTTGATCTCAAGAAGCAGCTTCTTCCTCACGAGATTTTGAAGTGAGATCCTACGTATCCCAACCTAGTCGGTCCCATCCGGAGGAGGGCCCTGATTTCTGCATCAGTATCAGCTGGGAACTTATAGAAGGGACCTTTGGACTATGCCTGTTTGAGGACTGGGCCATACCAATGGCCCTTTTGGAACCCCTGGGACGTCCTCCCTACAATCAAGAATGTCCCTGGAGCCATCTCAGCTGGCTTCATCTGCTGGGTATCAGGAGCATCATCCCCATAAGCACTATAGTGTCCGTACTGAGCCTGGCACCAAGCAGAGTCAGGATCCCTTTCATAAACAGCCACAAGAGAAGCGGCACTGGACCATCCCCTGTACTGTTAACATCTTCTTCCTCATCCATGAATGAGGCAACTGTAGCGGAGCCTATTTCTTCACCTCTGGATGATTTTACGATTCCTCAGGAGTTGTTGAGGAGATGGCTATGGCCATAGATATCCACTCAGACGTGGTCTGGGAAAAATCCACAAGCTGGTGGACATTCAGACATCTGCGGCTCAAGCTAGAATAGCTCTGCCGATAAATGAGGCTTACAGCGTACCAAGGTCCTCTGGCAGACTCCAGCGTCCCTACTACTGACTGTGAAAAGAGCAGAGAGATGACACTATGTCCCCTCCCAGGGTTTGAGCACCTATATAACCATCATCCTCCAGGCTCCCTTGCAGTGCCAGCAGCTAATGAAAAAGACAGACCATGGCACCAGGCTTCAACCCCAAAAAATTCAGACGGAGAGAATCCTGACTTATTTGGGAGGAAGCGTCATTCCACAGGCAGATTACGGCTTTATTCCAGAAGGGTATTGCAAACCAGCAAGACTTGCTGGGATGCTACAATTTCACCCTCTGAGATACTGTTCTGAAGTTAAAAGAAGCTCCCAGATGAAAGGTGTGACTAGTTAGACTCTCTTTCAGGGAGGTCACCTGATGTACTGGGGTTTCACTGGGCCCCTCCTGCTCTACCAGCCTGGATTCCCTCTCCCTGTTTTGCTGAATTAGGGTCTCCGGCCTCTTGCAGCGCACACACACACAGACACAGGCAGGGGCACACCCTACTTTCATGTGGCAATTCATCAGGGACACAAAGTTTCTGAGATTGACTATCAGTGGCCACCATTATCAGTTCACGGTCCTCCCCCCTTGGGGTTCTCAACAGCCTCACATGTTTTTACAAACTGTATGGCACTGGTGGCAACATTCCTCCAGAGGTTAGGGGCCCATGTATTCCCTTACCTGGGCAACTGGCTGATAAGTGGTCGATCCAGGTCACAGCTGGTGTCCAGCATTCGCAAAATCTGATCCACCTTTGACATGCTAGTCCTCCTGATCAACTCAGACAAGTCAGTCCCATCTTTAGAACAGAAAATAAAATTTATTGGAGTGGTCCTGAACTTGACAACAGCCAGGGCTTTACTGCTGCAGACAAGATTTCATACAATGCAAAGCCTCATTCTGGACTTTAAAGCAAGGCTTATCCTCTCACCATGATGAGTTGTTGTTTAAGGCTGCTGGGGCACATGTCAGCATGCACTTATATGGTCCAGTATGTCAGACTGCACCTCAAATTCCTTCACAGCCAGGTGGCAGAAGTATATTCTCCAAGAAAGCACCACACGGACATGTTAATGCACGTACCAATTCACATCCAATATTCTATGGATTGGTGGATGGACTCGACCAATGTATGCATGGGAGTTTTTTTGCCCCATCTCACACTCTTAATTTAGTCACAGATGCATTGGACCTGGGATGGGGAGGGCTCAGCTGAGCCACCTGCAGATGCAGGGTCTCTGGTCTCCCGAAGAGCTCAGTATGCACAAACATCAGGGACGTGTGGGCTATCCATTTAGTTTCCATGACGTTCCTTCCTTGCATTAGGGGAAGGGGCATATTGTTGCTCACCAGCAATACAACCACCATATTTTATGTAAATATGTAGGAGGAGCCCAGACCTCACTATTCTGTTGGGAAGCAATCCTGCTCTGGGACTTCTGCATCAGTAACTCTATACTTTGAAAATGGCCCACCTCCTGGGGACTCAGAATATGCTGGCAGATCACCTGAGCAGGTTGCTTATCCATGACTGCTCCCTTTGCCCAAACATAGCAAGGTCCATTTTCCAGCTCTGGGGAACTTTCCAAGTAGATCTATTTACAACAAGGGACAACACAATGTCACCAGTTCTGCTTCAGAGCAGGACACAGCCCAGGTTCATTGATGGATGCTTTTGTATTGCATGCTTTTCTCCCATCCCTCTTCTGACAAGAGTTCTGCACAAGGCCAAACAGGACAAGGCCAGTGTTATGCTAAAGGCCATGGCTTGGCCCCACCAATGCTGGTTTTCACAGCTCTCAGACCTCTCAATCAGTCCCTGTTACTCCTCCTTCACACAGACCTAGTTTTGCCAAATCACAGCCACCTCTTCCATTCCAACCTTCATGCTCTTCACCTGACGGCCTGGAGACTTCATGGCTAACATCAGCAGAGAGGTCCTGCTCCAGAGAAGTGCAGGAAGTAGTGCTGAACAGTACAAAACAATCAATGAGGACAACTTACCTGACTAAGAGAGAATTTTTCCACTTGGTCAAGGCTGAAAGGGGTCGCCCCCATTCTTACTTCTATTCAGCAAGTGTTGCACTATCTTTTCTATCTGAAACATCAAAGATTAGTAGTTAGCTCCATTAGGGTACACCTAGCAGCTATAACAGCATTTCATCCTTGTGTGGATAGCCACTCCTTTTTTTCCAACCTGATTTTGTAAGTTTTTTAAAGGGTTTGGATAGGCTGTTTCCACATGTACAGAGTCCTATTCCAGCATGGAGACTAAATTTAGCCTTAACAAAGCTGATGGGTCCCACCTTTGAGTCTCTAGCAACCTGTTACACCTTTCAAAGAAAGTAGCATTTTTAATAGCCATTCTATTGGCCAGGTGAATAGGGGAGTTCAGGGCATTAGTATCAGATCCTCCATATGTTTTTTTTAATGCAGACAAAGTCTACCTTTGTCCACAGCCAAGGTTTTTTTTGTTTTTTTAAATGAGACAAAGTCATCTCCTCTTTCTATACAAGCCAACCAGTTTTCTTAACCTTTTTCCCAAAGCCTCATGGTAATAAGGGAGAGGAGTCATTCCAAACTCTAGATGTTGGAAGAGTGTTAGCATTCTATTGGAACAGACTAAAAAGCTTTTCCAGTCTTTGTCTCAATTTATTGTTGTATTTGCGACAGAACGAAGGGCTGCCTGGTTTCCATGCAAAGGATTTTTGTTGTAGATATCTAGTTGTATTCGCCTAGGTGACCAGTTGGCTAACATGAACCCTCAGGATAGAGTATTGGGTCATTTGACTAGATCCAAAGCTGACTTTATGGCATTTCTGGCTCATGCACCTGTACTTTGCAGAGTAGCAACCTCTTCAGCATTGTCACACATTTGCCTCCCACTATGCAATCTCTCCGCAGTCTCTAGATTGTTAAATCTGGACGAACGGTACTTCAGTCCCTGTTCAAATTGACTCCAAACCCACCTCCAGATGGGATAGCATGAGTCACCTGCAGTGGACCGGACATCAGAATGGTTCTTTCCAGAATGGTTGTTCTTCTAAACGTGTTGCACATGTCCATTCCACAACCACCACCTCCTCCTTCCCCTCTCTATTGGAGTCATTCCAGCAGTAAGGAACTGAGGGCGGTCTGGGGCAGCTTGGCCTTTTATGCCTGCATGGTGTGCAAGACACAATAGAAGGTGCTTGGGCCTCCCTGATGAGTACTGCTAAGAGTAAAAACTGACAACTGCGCACTGGAGGCCCCAGACACCTACAGTGGAATAGACATGTGCAAAGCACCTTGAAGCACAAGTTACAGAAAGTTACACAACAGTTGCTAATTTAGTAACTTTTTTCCTGCAAGATGACTCCAAGAAGCATCACTGGCATTGTGTTCTTTGTAAGACAAACACTGCAACTAGTTCTAATGCTATTGCCTTGAGAGAACAGTCAACTTACCAGCATGCAATTTCTACAAAGAAGGGGAGTGCAGAACACTGAACACAACGTGGCTAGGGCTGCTTTCATTAACAATAACAGAAAAGACCAGACTCTCAGTGAGGCCAAGCAAGGTAGCAGGTCACAAATTACAGGTCCACTTATCTCCGAAGAGTTATTGCCTTCCTTAAGAGTCAGCTAACTCACAATCCCTATGTTGCCTTTTAAACTGGCTGCCCCCTTCCACACTTCTTTTTGGGACAATGTAACCTCACAGCAATAAACTGATTTGAGCTCATTGGACCAAATCTATTCCGTTTAGCAGATATAAAACTGGAGTAACTGCACTCGTCTAATTGAACAGAATTTGACCCCACAAGACATATCGTGGTCATTGGTAGCAGGTGAGGGCAGCCGATAGATGTAGGCATATATAATTATGTAAAATAGTTAAAATATTTTAAACTAGGATTTAAAATCTAGCTAATGATTGAGCATTGACTTCAGACTATACATGATGATTTCGGAGAAGTTCCAACACCATCTCTAGAACAAAGGGAAGGTTACAGGTAGTCAGGGCTCCAAAATAACACACTTTTTAAAAGTTGACCAGACCCATATTGTGTTTCATGAAAACACTCAATACAATTAATTTCAATTTATTGGAGTAATTGAAAGGCATCGCTACGCACTCTGCATTTCCTTGCAGAGGCTTACAACCAAAATATTGCATCCATGTATTAGGGCATGAGAACAAAGGGTAAGTATATATATATTTTTTAAAGAAGTGTATTTCCAGCCATAGCATGCCTTTAAACAGATAGTTTGACATGGGCAAAGGGCAGCCACGCTGGGCAAATGCAGTGCTAACACTTCAGGGGTTGAGCACTGTCCTAACTTACAAGAACAAGATCTGACCCCATTATGGCCGTCTGTGTAGGCAGAAGTTTCACATACATTCACAGCCCTGCTAACAGCATCTGTACTAGAGCAAAACAGTTGAACATTTACTTTCATTTGTTCTTAATGCTCTACGTGGGGACTTAGACAGGATATTGGTACAGAATACTGGGGCAAAAACTGGAAATTAAACTGTTTTACCCCCCCAAAAAGTACTAAGTTGGTGGAAAACCTGCATTGGGCATGTGAGAGAAAGAACAAGTGGTCCAAACCAGCATCCAATTATTCCAACGCAGCTCAATTTGTATGTAGAATATCATAACAGTTTCTTCTTCACCAGAGGCTGAAGGATGTGGAATACCATATAGATCTGTCTTCTTTCAAAAACAGCCACCATTTTTCATTTCTTTTATAGCTCTTATAAGTGATACTCTACTGCTTTCCCAAACAGCATGTACTTTCCATTGCCAATTTAGGCAGAGTCATACAATAAATACAAGACAAAAATCAGATTGAAATTAACTTTACTCCAACTATTATGCATCATTTACAAGATTACTGAAATTCTTCATTGGTGAAAAGCATTGTAACACTTACGAATAACTTACTTGTAGCTTTATGTATGTAACAGTACAACTTTAGAAGGTAACATGAGACAAATGCAAAAAAAAAAACTTTTGGCACAGGTTTTTTTTGCATGCATTATACTAAACAGTTTCACCACTATTAAGACATTTCTTCTTTGGGATGCCACTTGTAAATTTTATATAAAACAAAAAAACCACTTGTTCTGGCTGTTTATTACAATTTAATTGGCTAAAATGGCAAAAGCCAAATAGGACCATCCTTCTGAAACAGAAGTTTGTCCACTAGAAGCTAGGGTGACCACATGTCCTGATTTTATAAGGACAGTCCTGATAGTTGGGGCTTTTTCTTCTATAAATGCTGACCCCCACCCTGCATCCTGATTTTTCACACTTGCTATCTGGTCACCCGACTAGAAGCTCAAACATCATACAGTGAGGGGATGAAACAGACTCTTCTGATGATATTTCAAATGTGGTTGACAAATCTAGCTACTCCATGGATGAGTCTGTTCCAAAGCGTATTGGAGTTTTGTGCTGATCCATTCCAAATAATTTTAAATGTAAGTGAAACATAATCAGTGGCTAAATTCTAATAAGTGGTTAAAAATGAAAATAAGGCCTGTTGAAAACATGGCTCATAGCCCACCCCTTCCATATGTGCTCTTGCAAATATATGTAGAGTACGGTCTGCTCTGCAACCCAGTGCTTGAAACATGCATTGGCAAAACTGCACATTCCAAAATGGAGGCCACTGTTTGAAACTTACTAATCCACTTGATGTATTGCTTCTGAAGTTATCTAATGTTTTCCACCTAAAGGCAGTATAAAGGATGATTTATGGGACTGTATAAATCAGAAACTGCTCAGCAGATTGCTGATATTTTTAAGTAGCAGAAAACTCATTTGGGGATGTCCACTACTCTAGTTCTTGGTGAACTGGAAGAGTGATGCACATACCAAACAGACAAACTTTACATCAACCTGAATGCAGGTCAATACAGAGTTGAACAATCTGGCCCTTTGAGTCTACTAATTGCATAGCAAAGGAATTTTAATAATAGTACTCACTCTAGCTGTAGGCTGGCAAATCCTTCCACTGACTTGTTTGCCGTTCAAGCATGTAGACTTTAATTCACATCAACTAGTTTAAAAAAAGCTTCAGAGATTTTGAGAACCACTGAAATTCCTGCAAATATGCTCCATGCATGGAAGTGCATGGTCACTAACATACCCCCTACCCCTGGATATTTACTACCTAGGTTTACAGAGAGCATTAGGAATGAAAGCCTGTTTGCAGTAGGTTTGTTGAAACACAAGCACAGCAGCATATTTCAACAAATCAAAGTGAGACTCAAAGGCCCACCTCAAAATTGACATTTTGGAGTATGTTTATTTGGAACAACAGAAATCTTCACGTGCAGATTGTGTTGTCAAAATGACAAAGAGCATCCCCAAATTAGATTAAAGCAAAGGAAACTGGAGAATTACTCTGAGCAACTTTCATGATAAAAGATCATTTAAATATAATTTGGTTGACCTCAGTGTTGTAATTTCAGCACCAGATATTCCTTTAGCAAATGAAGAATGATTTACATTGACCGAACAAAGCATACTCATATTATGCACATCCATGCTTTATTCAAGTACATTCTACACCCGTGATTTTATATTAGATAACCTTTTAATTTAAAACCTCAACCTTTCCAACACATATGCACTTAAAAGTTAAGAATGTGAGCAGTACCACTGAAATAAATTACATTATTCACATGCTTAACGTTAAAAATGTACCAAAATGTACCTGGCAGGACCAGGACCTAAAATAGCAGAACACAGTCATTTTGTTAAGTTAGAAACATGCTCTATTACCTTATGCTCAAATAAATTTGCTAGTCTCTAAGGTGCCACAAGTACTCCTTTTCTTTTTGCAGATACAGACTAACATGGCTGCTACTCTGAAAGGTAATTTATATGTACACATGAGTAACAGCAGAATTTAGACTTTTAAAAAAGGCATGGCACGTGTGTACTTGGAGGTCACATTTTCAAGGGAAATTTATAAAAAAGTAAATTGGGAAAAAACAGATGTGGATCTGGAATGGTTTATAGCTTGAACAAGTTCAGCATGACCAGTTTTACAGTCTTAGTTTCTTTAAGCTGTTTAACTCTTAACTGAATATAAATGCTTTATGCTGCTTTAGGATTTCAGATAACGTCGAAGAGAAGAGTTTCTACACAGCAGCTACTTTACGTACATAAAAGTGTACATGTATATTTAAGAGAATTCAATTTATCCTAGACTGCCAATTTCTGTCAGGCTGAGGAAACAAACACTTCCCTGCAATTTAAACAAAGTGTTTTTTCATGCTATCAAATAGCTCAAATAAGTATTTACAAGTGTATACACATAAATGGGTGCCTGCATATCTCCATAGTATAAACAAACATGCCTCCTCTCTGTTATCAGGGCTTAACGTAAACTTTTACCAATATATAGTGACACCAATAAAAATGCAAGGCAACTCATTGTTACGTTTGACATATCTAGTTTTTCAGCTGTCTTTTTGCTTATATTCTGAAGAATATAAGAAAGGGGCTGCGCCCTGAAAAAGTGCACTTCTGTTTATGTCTCCTTTGTGTTAATGAATGAAAGTGCAATATGTTTAATTTGCATACAAGTGTCAGTATTCTTTCAGAAGCTAAAGCCAGTTTTTTTGTTTTGAAGTTGATATATGCATATGTTCATGTCCAAATAGCTACGTACATGCACGTTACCAGTATGCCACTTCTCTGCCCAGGTAGATGCAAAATACCCTATTTACAATAAAAGCATCCAAATCTCTAATGTACATAAGTTAGAAGTGTCCACAATTGCATTACTCCTCTATTTAAATGTTTTGTCCCTGGTGTTTCTCTCAGGGAATCTGCATGCCATGAGGGTTATGTGGATGTATCCAAGAGACAATATAGACTTGTCTCTGGATTGCTTTTACCACCCTTTGAAAAACTGGATGCTTTAGACAGACAAGATAACATTCAACTTTATTTACAGCCAGCCAAGGAAAGTAGAGCACCTTCATCTTAACTCATGCTTCAGGGCACAGTAAAATGATTGTGACAGACCAGGGAAGAATTCATCTCTGGCCGAGAGAAAAGTATTATATGGTTTTCTAAAGGTCTGATCCAAAAGCCCACTGAGAGCAATGGAGATACTATCTATTCCAATGGCTTTGGATCAGGCCCTAGAGCATTTTAGGGTTTTTCATTTTCCTTTGAAAGATCAGGTAATAAGCATTGCCTGCAGTAGAATACTGGATTTGATTAACCAGTTGGCTGAGCCATAGTGGCAAATCCTACATTCAAGTTTTTCCCACAAACAAACAGGTCATGTGATGCATGATTAGGTGACCAATCACAGCCCATTTGAGTGGAGTTCAGAGTGGTCTAACACAAAATTGTGAGATCCAATAGTTGCAAGGGTGAGAAATTGGGATAAAGCAGGATGTGCAAGTATGACTATTTGGAAAAAAGTCTGTGTGGAGAGGCTATGGGGAAAACCATCGGCTATTTTGGGTACCAAAAACAAAGTCTCCCTTTATTCACCAGCCAGCCCATTACAGCCAACAAAAGGGTAGTGAAACATCTAAGTCACTGTTAACAATACTGAGAAAGAATCCTGCATAAAATCAGTTTTGCTGACTGACACACTTAAGGTAGTGCAAATCATTTTGGAAGGGCAATGCAAGAAAAATTGAAATTGAAAAAAGAAAAAAATTAGTTTGGAAGAGAAAAATATTCATTGAAGATTTCAAATCAAGTTTTAATGTATTTGTTCAGTGCTTAGCACAACAGGGCCAAATTCGGTTGTGACCTCTCTCGTCTATTACAAGTGTTAATTAATAAATCCAGAACTAGGGATATCTTAATGATGTGGAATCCATTCCTTTCGTGTAAGGAATTTTCCACAGCCCCATTTTCATAATTTCCAATGTAAATAATTTTCTACAATCAGAATGAACACATCACATTTGTTTTGACTGTAGGTAACTCTGGGACTAAAGTGACCCATGTCCATCAAAACAAGGTATATTTACTGTTTAATTGTTTTCATGCCACTGGATTTTATTTAACAAATTCAAATTGTGATAATACCATACTCATTTAAGGTAATAGCCAAATGTTAATCCTGCGGGGCTAGGAGAAATGGGGCCAAATTCAGCATTGAAGCCCTGTCATATTACTGTGCTCTGTAACTGCATATTTTAGAGAACTGAAATAAGACAACTGTTCATGGGAACCAGCAGTGTAAACTAATTTCTATTGAAAAATGCTGCTGGTTTCCTTTAGGCCATAGTCACTGGTAACAGTGCATGCACAATTCACCCCTTTGTAAAAAGGTTTAGGCTTAAACCAAAGAAAGGATAACCTGCAGCTCGGCATCACGAGCCTGTGAGGTGGCTAGTAGTACTTGGGGGGCTAGTAGTGGGAAACTTACCTGCTGTAATTCCACACACTGAACATGTCACAGAAATTGATCCCCACTCTTGAGTTTTGGGCTTCTGGAACAAAGCCTAAACTTCCAAAATGTCAAGTTGTGCAGGGCTGCTGAGTCCCCACATCATCATCTCTTCCATGGCAGGTGGTACGTTCCACCTCCGTACAGCCTGCTTGTTCTCCAGTTGCTAGTTTTTTTGAGCAAGAGATTGAAGCAATTACCTATGAGAACTTATGTATCTAACTCTCACTTTGAGATGTCAGTATAATCAATGCATCAGTTGGATGGCCGCAGCCATCTATGCACTAAGAAATGCATTCGCTAGTTCTACAGTAAGCCAGTGGGAAATAACTCTTAAAACCAAAGCATAAACATTGCTACAAATAGTAAAAGACAGGATGGATGAATCCAGCCAAACTTCATCTGTCTCTCACAGGAATTGGATGGGTGAGAAGGAATCCAGTCATGCTATATCTTCAGAGAACCAGAATTACATGTAAGTAGTTTTCTCTTCTCTCAGTATACCACGCTGACTGGGCTCCTGCTTCTAGAGGAAAGAAACTTGAAGGGAGTTTCCACAAAGCAGCAGACTCACCAAATCATGGAGAACTAGAATAGCAAAAGGCAGTTTAGTACACTCAGGATTGTGGACAATTCCAGGACACTTCCACTTCTGAGAACGTCAGGGAGATATTAAACAGGTGACAAGCAGCATAGGGCATGCACATTACAAGGCAGGTATGTAGAAGGATCTGTTGTTTGCATTACACAATTTCAAGTAGGGGCAGAGATGCCCACCAGCTGAGTCTGTTGGCTTGACAATAGCACATTTAAGAAAGCAGGAAAAGTCAAAAGCCTTCCCAAGAAAAGACTGATTTGACAAAGTAATATCCTGCAACAGAACAGTCACCTTCATCTAGCATATTGGTTAAGTCCTCCATAGTAAAGAGGGAAACATTCTCAGTTTTGGGCTGGGAGCTGTGCCCAGAAAGGACGGGCTATAGATCACTTCCATCAGGACTCCAGAAACAAAAACTTCTACACAGATGAGTGACTGATTAGTGTCAAACATATGCCCAATACCTCCCCTCTTCCTGTGGGTAAGCAAGTGTTCCTTTGCAAAACTGAAAGCAGGATCTTGGGTCCTTATTACCACCAGTGAACAAAATGTGCTAAGGAGTTGCTCTGGGATCTGCACATGACCTTTAAAATGACCAACTAAGGATATACTTGCAGGGATATGCTGAGTGCTTAATCCAGCCTCTTCCTTTCTGCTGCAGCCAAAAGGGTTACTCCTCTAGTCAATAAAGTAACTGGACATACATCAGCTTAGTGAGAGGCAACACACAACATTGAGGAGAAGATACAAAAGTCTGAAAGAGAAGCCAAAACTCTAGAGTTCAGTAATGACCCTAGATTAGTAAACATGCCCCAAGACAACCAAAGAAGAGACCAGAGACTGCAATGAGCTCATGTAGCCAACATGCATCCCAAAGACATCTACAAGTAGAGAATGTGGTTATCTAAAGGCAACTACCAATTGGACAGCACAGGAAGCTGCATACTTTGACTTAATGGAATTTGAATGAAGGTCTGGTGACCACAGTTAAGGGAGACAGGCTCAGTCTTCATCATTTGTCGATATGAATTATGTATTTTGTTCCTCCTTGGACTTCAGGCCCACTGAAATCATGTCTTGTGGTACATCCAATCACAAGTACCAGAATACTATTGCAAAAATCAAAATTCAAGTTTCACTATGGTCTTAACTGGTATCTGCCACCTACTGGCAAATACTCCCAGTTAGAACACCATGTCTCACGCTTCCTCTCAGTTTATGAAGGCTGCAGGACTCAAGGCCACTGGACAGCTCAAGCTGGGTGCTTTAGTGCAAAGCCCAAACCTTATCTTCTCAAAGGCAGACACAGATGTGCAAACCTCTCCAACAAGTTGATCTTGTGCCTGGGAGTGGCCCCATGATACACTGATGTCTATGTATCTGACTTCCTCATCTGTCCAATGCTCCAAGATAGGTACAGACAATGCCTTACTGATTGGCACACTACAGCAGCGCCCCAAAATGCATCTATGAAACACTGGCCTGAAGAGTGGGCTGCAGAGGCATAGAATTGGTGTGCCTGGGAGCTCAGGTATGCAATACATTCACTGCACATCATACTAAGCTATCCCCGTCACAACAACGTTTTGGTCTACTACAACAAGCAATCATGCAGAAGTTGGGGTTGGGTAAAGGCGGTCTGAAATGCTCTGAGGCAAAGCAATTCAAGCCACCACCATGAAGAACTCCCCCATAAAGAAGGCTCTACGGTGTACCAACCATCAGCACCTCAAACTCACTTCGTCGGCACTAGTGCTATGGGTGAACATCTGCCTAGTGCAGCAGGGGAACAGCTGGGCAATGCACCTGTATATCATGTAAGTTACTCCATAGCGTCGATGCCTGGTATGTTTGTACACAAACAGGCCAATGCTCCAAGTCCCCTCAAAGATACCGACTGGCATGCTAACCAGAAATACACCAAGCCTCTGTTTTGAGATGCCACCAAATAGCACTGACCCAGCATATTGGAAGTAGGAACAGGAACGAGTAGGAACAAGATGTGCCTGTGCTGGGAGAGTATCACTGTAGCACCCAACTCTGATGTGATCCAAGATTATCTGCTAGTGCATCAAGCTCCAATGGCACAGCAAGCCCTGATAGATCAATGGTGCTGTCAGTGCCCTGCACGTTCACCATACTCCGATGAAATGGTAAGGCAACCTAGGCCACAACATTACAAATTCCTCTAGTGTGCCAAGCTCTGACAACACACTAAGACGACAGATCTTGCTAGTGTATTGAGACATTCTGACCCCACTGCAGTGCTCCAAACATCAATGGAACCTCAAATTCCATCTGCAATTGCCACCACCACTCAGGCTGCAGCAAACCAGTTGCACTTTGAGTCTCCTACCAACACAGATAAAGGATTGTGCCTTTTACACGCTGATCTTCAGAGCTGTGCCTTTTCCATAAACTGGAGACAGGGGAGCATGGAATCGGTTCCAAAGATTTCTGGATGGCACACACAGGTGCTCTAAGGCAAGGCACAGCTGCAACCAGCCTTCCAGACTGACCTTCAAGGCAGAACTGGATGCTCCTGAAATAAAGTTACAAGAAAATACAAAAGTTAGTAACCTCAGAAATACTAAAAGATGGGGAAAAAAGTGATGCAAGGCTGAAGACTGGCTCACAGAAAAGAAATTCACATCAGAATAACTGCCTCTCCATTGAAATAGATGACTGTTGTCACTGACCAGATAGGAGACGACAGTAGATGAAGAAAATCTCCATACTTTTTTGAGCATCATCAGCTTTTAACAGGTAACCGCTGAAGGGGAATGCTTTACAGTGAAGCCAGGGGCATGAGGGGCTGCAGAGCCCACTGTGCAGAGGAACAAAGTACCTGCTGCTATACAGGGAAGTCAGCAGCCTCAAACACTCTGAACTTTCAGAGTTCTACCTAGTCTTGTTCTAGAAGAGTAAGATTTAAGAGTAGTAATTTAATCAACAGGATATCAGAGAATTCAGTCATTACAAGTTTCCTAAGGTCTTTGGTAAGGTTGGTAGTTATAGTATAACCAATATACTGTTCCTCAAATTAGCAAATACTGTGCTATTGGTAGGTGAATTGCAATGTAACCTGATGATTTCTTCTGATCTTTCACTCAGACAGACATTCTAATATTTAGAATGTCCTTGATTTTGTTTTCATCAGAACCAGAGTTTCTTGAAAAAAAAAATTAAAAAAAAATCATAGTTTAGGAACACAAATCCCTCCTTGAAAAGTCCAAAAATACTTTAGACCTGTATGCTGTCTGTTTTATTACAGTATGTGCAGTGAAGTTACTGCATAATAACTTTAAGAGTTAAGTATCTCAAAAGTTCTTTTTATACCCCCTTAACATCAACGCTGATTATACCAATTCAGAGAGAAGTAAAAACAAGTGTCACTACCCACATTAGTTGCACTTTAAATTATATACGCAATAATCAGCAAATTTGTGTTACAGGTTCATTTTTGGGACAACTGCTTGGAAACTACATCTACTAATACATTCCTCAACATCTATTTTTGTATGGGACTGGTAAACCTTGCCATATGATAATCTTGTCAAATTTAAGACTTTAAAAAACAAAAAGCAGCTTATGCCAATAAGGGCTTTTTTGGTGAGCGAGATGTGTCAGAATTAGATAGGCTTACTGTCTTGATGCAAAAGTAGGCCTAGGTCTGAGCCAGAAGTATATAGGTATAGACAAATATAAAAGCCTAAACTGAGGTTCAATCGACATGTTGATATAGCTTTGTAACACAGATCAACAATGGTAGGCACCACGAGAACATTCACTTTAAAGTTCAAACTTACATTAACAGGTTACAAGCATGTACACATATTCTATGTTTAAGTTACATATACAACAGCTGAAGTACCTTATGCATGAAAAGGTTTTCTTAGACCAACTGCATGTGGGCAACTACATTCAACGTAGATAACTTGGTCAGTCCCTTCTCCCGCTCCCCACCCCAATAATTTAGTTTCAAACCACAAGGAAAACAATTTTATTAAGTAGCACTCAGTGGCTTGTTCCAAACTTCTGACAAACCAAGGAACACAATTCTGCACAGGTCTGTGTTTCTACTGAACTGAACTGTGACTCCATTGTATTCCAGGCCAAGTCAGCCAGAAGAAAGTCATCCATAGCTGTCTGTGTCTCATTGCTGGTAAGAAATAGGCTTCCAAGGGTCTCAAAGCAGCTATCCATAGTCTGTGTTTCAGCACTATTCAGCTGGACTTTATTTTCTATATTTTGACTAGCTATATGTTTAGCAGCAGAGGGTATTTCTGTCTGGGTTTCAGTATCAGACGAGTCAGTGCTCATGGAGAAGCTGGACTGCTTCAAAATACTTCCCAAAGGCAAATGGGTGCTACTGTCTAAGAAGGAATTTAAGTCTGTCTGTGTCTGGGTATCAAACATTTCCAAACCTAAAAAGTTAGAATTTCCTCTGCAGCTATAGGATTGAGTGGCACTATCCGAAAAAAATAAGTCAGTCTGTGTTTCAATGTCCAGAGATTCCAAGACCGGCTCAGAGTTCAGGTTACCAAGTTCACTCTCCTCAGTTTGGGTTTGAATATTGGAAGCTGAAAAGAACTCTTCAATGTCAAAGTCTATTCCCGTGCTCTGTGTAGGGCCAGATGGCAGATGTGTATCAGCACCAGAGCTAGTGTCAGACAAAAGACCACGATTATCCAATGTCTGACCAGGCATGTTACCTGAAAAGATGTTTTCCAGATCACTTAGTAAGTCCATTGTCTGGGTTTGATTATCCGTCATATTTTGCTGTGGGAGTATAGTAGTCTGTGTATTGAAGTTGATAATGGATTCATTTTTTATTGTATCCTGACTCAGGGTCTTGCAGTTACTTCTTTGTAGCAATCCTTGATCCATGTTTGCAGCCATTAAATTGTTTTCCGGGAGCCCAATCTGGGTTGAAACATTGTAAACCGAATGAACACTGTCAAAAATGTCATTGCACATTACAGCCTGGTCCATTTGTACTCTCTCTTCAATACAGTTCTGTGTTCTGTTGGTTTGGGTCTCTCTAGAAACGCCAGATGACTGGAAACAAGCCTGAGCAAAAGCATCAGTCTGGGCAGCTATGGATGAAGTCAGTTTAGAACTGGGCAACAATGTCTGAGTCTGAACGCTAACCGGTAGCGAAATTTGTGAACTGAATGTCAGGTCTGTCTGAGAGCAAGAGGATACAGAAGAATCAGGAGTCCAGGCTGCAGATGGCACAAAGTTCTGTGAAATGTAAGATAAGTCAGTTTGTACATTTATTGAAGAGATTTTATTCTTGTGACAAATGCTCCCCAGCTCTTGTACTGTATTATTTGATGTTACCTTACTCAAATTGACTTGGACACTGTTGCTAATCGGTTCAACATCACCAGAATTTGCCGTTTTTGAAATAGGCACAGTGTTTTTAAATACAAGTGCTTCAGCCTCTAATGCTGGTATCAGAATTCCTATAGACTGAGGTAATAAGTGAACAGTACTCATAACAGAGCCTTGATTATCAACAGCCACCACAACAGGTTTGACAGAGGAATCTGTTGCTGATACAAAAATAGGCAAGTGAGCAAACTGCATTACTGGAAGTTTAACCAAAGCTACTTTGGGCTTTGGCAAAAGCATTTTCGGTGTACACTTTGGCTGTGAGAGCGTTTGCTTACTGATATTAGAACTGCAGGAGCCTTCAAAGGAGGCCATTAGCTTCATCTCAGATGATTCCAATTCCTGAGTGCAAGTACTACTGATGCGTGCATTGATGAACGCTTCACTCGCTTTCTCTGCCAAGTGCTGATTGGAAACCACAGTGCACATTTTCCTTTTCTTACTAGGTGGATCCCTGTAAACATGATACATTCAGAATTTATCTCACAGTTTAGAGACCAACAACAAAATCTTCCCTCCCAACTCTTTCAATCATGACACTAGACCTTGTGGGAATGGAGGTATAAGTTAAATCCTTCCGTAGGTCTGCACTGGCAGAAAAACCAATCCTGACCATGACCTTTTTTCACTTTAATAAGGAAGAGAATGAAGAAAATGCTAAAAGAGTAACCTCTCAGCATTTTGGGTTGTGGTGTTTAAGAAAATGTTAAAAGACTTTTCCAAAGTAGGCAGTTACAGTCTTATAGAAAATTGGAGACTAGGTTTTCTATCCCTTGCATACAAGAATGCACAAGTATTATAATCTTGCAGCATCTCACTCTGCAAGACAAGATATAGTAGGATTCAGTAAATAGATTGCTTCATGCATGCACACTACTAGGAAGATTTATACACGTTTTATAGATGGCAATTTTTGATACTTATCTTATTGTCTTACTAATGAAAGCAACTGACACATATGGTGCTGTATAAGTGTTACGAGTAAAAATATTTAATGAACGTTGCCTACTTCAGGCTACAGAACTACACTGCGTGTGCACATTCTCCGTCCAAGAACATTCCCTTTCTAATTTCATAGGACCGCAGGATGCACAGTTCCAACGAGAATCACTCTTAGTTCTAACAACAAATGCAATAAATGTCACCAGCAATAAGAGGACCATAGCTGGTAGCACTTCTTGTGCTAGACACTAGAAGCTTGATCTTACATAGTACTGGACACTCAATTCCCATTGCCATCAATGGATCTAGAACTGCTGTAAGCAATGGAAGGAAGAAGCTGCAAACTGCATTAGTGTTAGTGGGAGTTAACTGCATATAGGTAGGAGACAGGCCCACCTCCCATCAACCGAAAGGAGTTAATTATGGGGCATGTGTAGGAAGATGCCATAATACTTAATATACAATAAATTAAACCACTTAATCAACAATAGCTTCACTGTTACCTGTGCTCTGCAGGGATCTCATGGCCAGTTCTGTAAACATGAGACAGTAATGCTGTTCTGCTGGCATAAGGGCACCCACAAGTACACTGGAAAGTCTTGCCACAGTCTTCTATATGTCGTTTCAAGTCCCATTCCGTGCCATACGAGTTGCTACATTTATCACATTTGTGCTTCTTTTCAGCATGCATTTTCATAAAGTGCTAAAATTCACAGTGAAAGTTAGACAGGTTAGCAATACAAAATAATTGGTTAAGAGGTCATTTCTTTACAAGACAGATACAGTGTTAGCATACGCAAAACAATTTAGGAGATACGCTAGTCTTGGAGAAGAGTAAGAAAACTATCCTTAATCAGAAACAGTTTTAAGAATTCAATAGAAATATTTAGGCTTTTCACTGAAAAAAAGATTTAAACATTTTCTTGCACTGCTCAAAGCACAAACTATACAATACTATTCTAGAGGCATGAGAACTACAGAATGAAGAGAAGTCTAGTTTCACTGTCAAAGTTGAGATGAGGGCAAAAAATAAACAATGAAAAGTTGCTTAAATTAGTTTTCATTATTTAATTTCATTATTTAAAGTATTTTTGTACAAATAACTATGATTTTACACCATCATTTGATCTGCAAATTGATTTTCATTGTTTTACTTGGGAGTAAGTCTTCATACAATACCAGAGAATGAACTTGTTGGCAATCTCATACACCTTGTCATTAATTTTATGTCATCAATTCCCCACAGCTTTTAGCTATAGATTAACTACTGCCACTTAACACTTACTGGGCTTCCTGTACCATTGACATCAATGGGAGGTTTGCTATTGACTTCAGTGGGCACAGGATCAAGCCCACAGTGCCCCTCATTCAAGAATCTTGCTGTTTATTAACGTTAGTTAAATCATCAAAATACCCATCCTGAGAGAGGCACGCTCTCTCTTTCAATAAAGAACTGGAACAAAGAGGAGAGGCTAAGTGAGTTGTCCAAAGTTCCCAGAACAAGTAAATAGAACCCTTTATTTATGGCCCACAGCTCTAGCCACTAGACCACATCACTGCCATGCTGGATCATGCAGCTGACTGACACTGAAGATGAGTCACAAATGTTGGCAGTTGGGTTTTCAATAGAATTTAATACTTTTCATAAAGAATGCATAAGTGACATTTTCTTAGCAAGAGATAATCCTGATGAACATGCAACAGAAAGTCAACTGTGTAAAGACATCAACTCCTGAGACAAAAGTACAGGAGTTAGCCTTATTTCTTATCCATTTAAGATGGCTAATAATTTAAATCCAGTTTATTGCGCTTGGACTTCTTTTTGTTATAACTGGACATTTATAGAAAAAATGTTAGCCATAGGTCAGCTCTTTAGAAAAATCTTATATGAATGATCTTTTCTAACATTCATTTCTTATCAGTTTTTTTTTTAAAATGAGAACATGCCAGTGACTGACAGACACAAAGACCCAAGTCTTCCAAAGTGGATGTGCAAACTGCCATCTGCACACAGACTGGGTTTTCTCCACACAAAAAGAAAAGGAGGACTTGTGGCACCTTAGAGACTAACCAATTTATTTGAGCATGAGCTTTCGTGAGCTACAGCTCACTTCATCGGATGCATACTGTGGAAACTGCAGAAGACATTATATACACAGAGACTATGAAACAGAGAGTGGTCACTTTGGATGGGCTATTACCAGCAGGAGAGTGAGTTTGTGTGGGGGGGGGCGGAGGGTGAGAAAACCTGGATTTGTGCTGGAAATGGCCCAACTTGATGATCACTTTAGATAAGCTATTACCAGCAGGAGAGTGGGGTGGGAGGAGGTATTGTTTCATGGTCTCTGTGTATATAATGTCTTCTGCAGTTTCCACAGTATGCATCCGATGAAGTGAGCTGTAGCTCACGAAAGCTCATGCTCAAATAAATTGGTTAGTCTCTAAGGTGCCACAAGTACTCCTTTTCTTTTTGCAAATACAGACTAACACGGCTGTTACTCTGAAACCTTTCTCCACACACTTGCTCTGCAACTTGAGTATACACATTGGGATGTCTGGCACATGTGTTTGGATACAGGAAGGTATATGCACTCTTGAAGATTTAGCCCATGTTGTCCCCAGATTCCTCTTATACTATTACTCAAGAAAAGTAGTCCAGAAAAAAAATAAATACCTGTTTTACAAGTGAAAATTGGGAAAATGGTCTGTTTGGTCCTCTAGGGCAGCCTTCAATAGGACAGCAGTAGAATTTCTGTGTAGTTTTCAAACCCTTTCTTATTGATGCATTTATTTTTCCATCCTGAAAAAGTACATTTTTATTAAAAGTTGGCAAATGGGCCTGTACTATTAATACAGTGTTCAGAATACAGATTAAATTTTGCTCAACATTTAGTTTACCAGCCTTGACATTCAAGCTAAAAACTCTTTGTTAAGTGAATTGGTAGATTACTCAGCTCAAATGGAGTTGCTTATCTGTTCAGATACTATTTTGTAACTATACCAGCAGAACTCCCCAGGAATCACAACGGATGATCCGAGAGCAGTATACTATTATTTTACTTCAAATATTAAATTCTCCCCAGCATAGAGGAAATACTTTCAAAATCTAAACAATTTACACCTGCTATTTCTTAACTTTTTAGAGTCCAAAATGAATGGATCTAAAGCTCCAACCTCTACACTGCATTTCACTAAATATTTACAGTGTTCCAATACAATGTGGTTTTAATTTTCAGAATTGCATTACGCTTGGCATTTCCAACCAGTAAGATTTCTACTTTACAGTTTATATTTGCCTGGAACAATCACACTGCCATCAAAGTTGCTGAAGCAAGTAAAAGTAAAGAACTAGAGTTCCATGTGTCACTTAATAAACTTTGTGTGTGTGCTTGTGTGCAGACTAGATGTTCACAGCAATATACTACAGAACCAGAATACCAATAGGGACAGATTCTGCTTAGTTGTCTCTGGAAGAGGCATCTCCCTCACTAAGGAAGATTCCTTCAGTCTCAACCACATTACTCTGCTTTCCACATATTTCAGCCACCTGAGCATGGACACTTACGGATAGTAGCAGGTTACAAGCAAAGAAGGAATTTTGGGCTAAAATTCTCAGCTGTACCCAAGCAAAACAGAGTGCTGCTGGGAAGCATAAAGACAAAAATAGCACCTCTTCTGTCCCTCCAGAGCCTGGAACTGGCTGGGGAGCCAAACTCCAGGCACTACAACCCTGGAGATCTCTCTCTGGTACCAACTTCTTCAATGTGAAATTAAATTTGACTTGATCTGATGGCTCTTTTCACAGGGGGAGACTGCTAATCTGATGTTGAATCCAGGGACCAGACCCATAAGGCCTCCCTGATGAAGGCACAGAGCCTCTGCTGCTTATCAATGCAATCCAAGTAATGGTTTACAACCCCAGGCAGAATAGCAGGTACCCACATCTGTCTCCAGAATATAGAGGGACACATCACACACTGCTTAAATACACCTTTTTTACCTGAGACCCCAGAGCCCTGACAGACATTTTGGTAATAGCCAGAGAACCTTCGGGCCAAAATAAAAACCTACCAGTACAACAGTGAAAGCTATTTAACATTGACCCCAATTAAAATATAGTGCAACACAATAAATTGAGTTTTGGATTAAAAAGACCCGAAGAAATCACCCTGGGAACAGAGAGAAGGTCCCTGCACCTGACCACAGAAATGCACAAACTGAGGTAGTTTGGGACTGCACAATGTTTTTATAACTTCTGCTTCAAACATCTTAAGTGAGAAGGGCGCTCATACAGCTCCAACAGGCATGGTTTTCCAGAAAGTTCCTGCAACATAACATGAGGCAAATCCCACAAACAGGAATAAACAGACGCCACATTAATGAGCTCCTTTTTGTCAAAGTGAATGAAGCATTAACAGTTGTCAAACCAAGATAAGTTATGTCCTCAATAAATGGAACATAATCAATGCTATACAACTTCGTCAAGTAACTTATATTTCTAAGCGTTCAAACCTGGTTTCTAGTAAAAGACATGTTGTTGCAAGTAAGTTTTACTAATGCTATAAGTCCATACAATTAAGTACAAAGAATCTAATGAATGAGATGGTCAACTATGTCATTTCACCAAAAGAGAACCTGATGGATTCTTGAACTTTATCAATTAAATGTTTTGTGGAATTTTGGGACAAAGTTTTTACTTTCACCTCTTTTCCTTTGACTCCTGAAAGTATCAAAATAAAGTGCAGTCAGAGAAATCTAAAAACCACTAAGTTCCAAGATCATTCTCTTGTTACACCACAATCCACCACCACCATGCTACTAAGGGTCAGATTATTTATTTATTTTGTAAAGATATAGTACATCCGTTCTCAAACTGTGGGTCAGGACCCCAAAGTGGGTCACAACCCCATTTTAATGGGGTCACCAAGACTGGCATTAGATTTGCTGGGGCCCAAGCCCAACCGCCCAGAGCCAAAGCAATGAGGACTTCAGCCAATGGTGGAGGGGCTTTGGCCCCCCTGCCCGAGGCAGTGGGGCTTGGGATTCATCTTTGGCCCCCCTACCCAGAACAGTGGGACTTGGGTTTTGGCTTTGATCTCCCCAGCCAGATCAGTGGGGCTCAGGTGTGCTCAGGCTTCAGTCCCCCCTCCTGGGGTCATGTAGTAAATTTTGTTGTCAGAAGGGGGTTGTGGTGCAATGAAGTTTGAGAACCCCTGGTATATGCCTAAAGTAGGTGCCTAAAGAAGCAGATAGTCACTTAGCAGAATTCTGAGAAGTGCCTAGACACCTCGCTATCACTGACTCTCTCGGGTGCTTTTGATAATTCCACTAGGTGACTATCTGCTTTTTTAGGCATTTATTTAGCAATCTGGACTTAACTGCTAAAAGGGTTTAGTAAGAGAGGTAAGCTGTAAAACAATGCTGAATATGGAAGAGGCAGCTCTACATATATTGGTAAAAAGTTTCTGTAGTTGGGACTATCTGTATGTAGCTCTAAAGCAGGGGTGGGCACACTTTTTGGCCTGAGGGCCACATCGGGGTTCCAAAACTGTATGGAGGGCCCCCCTCCTGGGACTCCCTACCCCTAACCGCCCCCCCTGGGACCCCACCCCCTATCCAACCCCCCCTGCTCCCTGACTGCCCCGATCCCTATCCACACCCATGCCCCCTGACAGGCCCCCTCTACCCCACCCCCTATCCAACCCCCCCTCTAAAGCCCCTTTCAGAATATAGCCCTGTGAACATGAGTGGAGGGCTCAGGAGGAGCAGGGGCAGCCGCACAGCTGGAGAGAAGCGACGGTTTCCTGCTGCTTCTCTCCAGCCGGCTGCGCGGCCGCCCGGTGCTCCTCCTGAGCCCTCCGCCCACATTCGCCACCCGTAGCTCCTGCCTGCTCCCCTGAGGCTGCAGTGAGCCTCCCTTCCCGCTCTCCCGCGCCCCCACAGTGCAGCCCCCTCCCACACTGGTGGCGCGGTGAGGCTTCGGCGGAGGGACAGCGGGGAGGGGTTGGGGGCTAGCCTCTCCAGCCAGGAGCTCAAGGGCTGGGCAGGACGGTCCCACGGGCCGCAGTTTGCCCATCTCTGCTCTAAAGTATCATTCAATCAGTCACGACCAGATATAGAGAGTCTAATGACAGTTTATTTCTAAAAATCCCATCTCCATAGACACTGCGTGTCTGAGCCACACAGTATTCCAATACTAGCCTGAACTATTACCAAATGGAGAGCTGAGTACAAGCAATCTCATGAGCATACATGGCACTGTGATAACAGTTCTGAGAGCTATTACAGCAGTTTATGTGGGGAAAGAACGCATTGTATTTTCTTCCTTGATAGCAAACCTGGAACACAACAGTTAAATACTGCAGTAACTGAGGTTCAAAACGACGGGCCACGTGGATCCAGGAGTGCTGCGTGCCCCTCAGAGCACAAGCTCAGAATGTTTGGAAGAATGTCTGCTGAAACGGCGCACAAACCCTATCTATCCCTTGTGTCCCTTAACCGCAGGACGCATCAGCTAACGCCACTCAATTCCTTCTAACTGCTTTTGAGCCAAGATCCACATAGGCCAACTCGACCAATAATAAAAAAAAAATTAACTATTTCCCTGAGAAAATAGGAGGTTTTGGTGCCTGGGGAACTATACGTTTGTATTCCTGTAGCACAATGTGGCCAGGGTCTCCAGGTGCCACAGCAATACAAAAAATGAATAAAAGGATGAATGATCTTTAGAAAGAAAAAACCCAAGCTACTCCTAACAGTATCTCTTATATTAAAAAAAGACTGAAGAATATTAAAAGATATCACACACAAATACTACACAGAGACAAACCAAACACTAAGTACGCATATACTGTTAATTAAGTTAATATATTTCACACTGAAGGGTGTTTTAATCAAAAAAGCTGTTGCTAGAAAATGCATCATTCTTCCCATTGTAATAGAATAAACATGATACACTAATCTAGAACAGCCCATCAACACCTATATAAATCTTTACAGTACCCTTTGAACAACAGTGGCTTTAGAAACAATTGGACAGTTTACTGTTTCTAAAGAATGCTAACTATCCCTTGCAGAGGGCTTCAAAACTGGGAATGTGAGCTCCCCATCTAGATGATGTTAGATAAATCAGAAGGCAAGAAGGACCCAGGGGACACAGATGTAGTGCTGGACAAACAGTAGGCAGTCAATGCTCAAGTACACACTTGGGGTCAGGTTGGGAGCATGGGTCAGTATGTAGACCTGGTGTGTATTACTTTCCTGCATGATCAGGGCTGTGGGCACCAAAGGTGCAGTAAATATCAGGACCAAGTGGATCTAACTCAAGAACAGACTCACGGATTTTGGTACTTGGAATCAATTGTCTCAGGTGCATGCCAAGAGCGGCATGGGTGCTCCAGGGCTGGAGCACCCATGGGGGAAAAAAATAGTGGGTGTTCAGCTCCTCTCCTGGTGCCTCCCGCACCCTGACAGACTCTGCTGATCAGTACCTCCTCCCCGCCACAATCAGCTGCAACTGCGGGGGAGGAGGGGAGGGGCGGGGTATACTCACGATGGGGCAGAACGAGAGTGGGAAGAGATGGGGTGGGGCCTTGAGGGAAGGGGTGGAGTGGGGGCAGGGCCTGGAGTGGAGCAGGGGTCAAGCACCCCCTGGGAAAGTGGAAAGTTGGTGCCTCTGAACAGCTGGACATGGTGCATTCTCAGGACCAAGATCTCAAGGGGTGAGGAATAACGGGGACAAGCAGGAAGGGGTATCTGGATCTCACTTGCTTACATCATGCACAGTGCTGGGCTGGGGAGTGGGGATATGGCATGGGGGAGTTTGATTCCATGGCCTTGCTTAGGTGTATGCTAAAGGCCAGGAAGGTGTTTGGGACATGCATTTGTGGGAGGGAGGTTCAATACGGGGGCCTTCCTTGGACCAGGGTTAGGGGATTTTTAAAGGGTGGAGGGGAGGGCCTGGTTAGACTTGTTCAGGTGCACGCTCTGGAACAGGCAAAATATGGGGTTCAGCACCTGGACCTGGAGGGTCTTGCTCAGGAACATGCTAAGGGCAGGGGGGGTTAGATATCCAGACCCAGTGGGCTGGGGGTCAGTACCTGGACGTGGTCAGGCTTGCTCAGGTACACACTCAGCGCTGGGGATAGAGAATATGAGGGGCTTGGAACATGGGCCTCATGCGCCTTGCTCAGGTACATGATAAGGGTAGGGGAGCTTTGGTACCCAGACCCAGCGAGCCAGGGATGTGTTGATCTCCGGATCCACTGCACGTTGTTGATTTGCTTGGTGGTGAAGGAAGGGATATGAGGAGTCAGGTACCCAAACCAGCTAGGCTAGGAGAGGGTCAGTAGCTGAAACAGCTGAGCCTTGCTCAGAGCTGGGAGTGGGAAATATGAGGGTTTTGGTACCTGGACCCAAGGGGCTAAGGGAGGTGGGCCTTGCTCAGGTGACACTCAGGACAGGGGAGGGTCAGTACCAGAACACACCGGATCATGCCTAGGTGCAAGCTCAGAGTAGGAGTGGGGCCGTACCGGGACCCGCGGGGCCATGCCCAGGGCAGGGGAGGATTGTACCCAGACCCAGGGCCGGGGAGGGTCAGTACCTGGACCCGGTGGGCCTCGCTCAGGTGCATGCTCAGGGCAGGGGCAGGGCGGTACCCAGAGCTGCTGGGCTATGCCCAGGTGCGCACTCAGGACAGGGGAGGGTCGGTATCCGGACCCACTGGGCTATGCCCAGGGCAGGGGAGGATTGTATCCAGACCCAAGGCGGGTCAGTACTTGAACCCAGTGGGCCTTGCTCGGGGCAGGGCGGTACCCAGAGTCGCTGGGCTATGCCCAGGTGCGCACTCAGGACAGGGGAGGGTCGGTATCCAGACCCGCGGGGCCATGCCCAGGGCAGGGGAGGGTTGTACCCAGACTCAGGGCCGGGGAGGGTCAGTACCTGGACCCGGTGGGCCTTGCTCAGGTGCATGCTCAGGGCCGGGCTGTTGGGCAGGACCTTGCCGCAGCCGGGCACCGTGCACAGAATGTTGGTCCGCACGGCCCGGGACAGCTCCGTCACCGACGGCCGCACGAGCTCCCGGGACACAGGACGCTCCGTGACAGAGGCCGAAGCCCGGGGCCACCCCGGCCCCGCTCCGCCCCGTGCGCGCTCTGCCGCCGCCATGTTGTTTTCGGCCACTTACAAACAAACCGGCCTAGCAGCAGCAGAACTTCCGGGAGCGCGACGGAGGCAGCTCAGCATTAGTCATCTTGTAATTTGAATATTCATAAGGAGCGCGACGAGGCTCGGCGCTGGTCACGCCCCTCGGCCCTGGCTCCGCCCACAGATGCTCTTTCGCTCCGCCTGGCATCGTCCAATCTTCAGTTTTCCGTCTCCCGCGGGGCCGGCCCGGTTCGCCTCGTTCCCGAATAACCGTCACTCTCTTCTCACCGTGGGGTGGGGAGTGAGGGCTCCAGCTCGGCGTGCGGGCTCTGGGGTGAGGCTGGGACCCAGGGGTTCGGAGGGCGGGAGGGGCAGAGTGTTGGGGCACAGGGGGTAGTGGTGAGGGATGTGGGCTCTGGGTTGGGGCTGGAGATGAGGGGTTTGGGGCATAGGACGGGACTCCAGGCTGGGATTGAGGGGTTCAGGGGGTGTGAGGGGTGCAGGGCTGGGGCAGCGCTTACCTCAGACAGCTCCAGGAAGCAGCGGCATGTCCGTCCCCTGCTGCAGCTCCTAAGCAGAGGTGCAGCCAGGCAGCTCTGCTGCACTGTGCCCCATCCACAGGTGCCAACCCCGCAGCTCCTATTGGCTGTGGTTCCTGGCCACTGGAAGCTGAGGAGCTGGCACTTGGGGCAGGGGCAGTGTACGGCACCCCCAGCTGCCCCTACATGTAGGAGCTGGAGGGGGGACATGCCACTGCTTCCCAGAGCCGTGTGGAGCCATAGAAGGTAGGGAGCCCGCCTTATCCATCTGCACCGCTGGACTTTTAAACGCTCGGTCAGTAATGCTGACCAGAGCCGCCAGGAGCCCTTTTTGACTGGGCGTTCTGGTCGAAAACTGGACACCTGGTAGCCATAATCCTTGCTCCGTGGGTCACTGACCCAGTACGGTGCCCTAACATCACCAGGCCACAGGTTAAGATGGGGTCAAAACATTACCACGCTGCAAGGCAGCAGGCTGACAGGAGTGCAAAGATCATTGTCATGATGCAATAGATGATGAGGGATCAAATTATCATTAGAGGGTGAGGCAATTAATGATGTGGGGTTAAGAAGCCATGACACCACGAAGGCAAGGGAGGATAGAGATTGTTACATGAGCTAACTGGGTAGCATCAGCCAGTGGTTGCAGCATGAAAGGATGGCACAACGTAACGTCAAAACCAGGGCCATAATTAGGGTGGGGTGAGAGGGGCAGCCACTCAGGATACAAAGCCGGTGGGGGCACAAAAATGGGGCAGCGCAAGATCAGGGCCAGAGTCCCTGGCTGTAGTTTGGAGAGGGGCATTGGAGGAGCAGAGGGGGTGGTCCAGAGCTGCTGCTTCTGCTGGATGCTTACTGCCTCTGCAGCTGCACAGTGCCTCCGGGGTCCTACGGCCTGTCATCTTCCTCTTCAGCGTGTGCTTGGCACCTTATATGGTCACGATCCTGTTTTCTGTACAATAGGACAGGGCAAAGGGTGGGGGGAATATAGGGAAAATAGACAGGTTTCAGAGGAACAGCCGTGTTAGTCTGTATTCGCAAAAAGAAAAGGAGTACTTGTGGCACCTTAGAGACTAACCAATTTATTTGAGCATGAGCTTTCATGAGCCACAGCTCACTTCATCAGATGTAGTGAGCTGTGGCTCGTGAAAGCTCATGCTCAAATAAATTGGTTAGTCTCTAAGGTGCCACAAGTACTCCTTTTCTTTTTAGGGAAAATAGAATGAGGTGAGGGAAAGAGGCAGTAGCGAAGGAAGGGGGATGGGATAGGGCAGGGGGAAGAGAAGAGGATGGGGCAGGGAAAGGGGTAGGGAAGAGAAGGAAATAAGGGCATGGTGGGAAGCAGGAGCCCTGCAGTGTTCCCTTGGCAGCAACAGCTGGGGCTCCCCCATTAAGCCAGTAATCCCCCCCCCCCCCAGCAATGGCTACCCATTTGCAACAGGCCCAAGTACCCCATCATTGGAGGTGTTTAAGAATACGTTATACAAACAGCTGTTAGGGATGGACTATTCACAGTTAGCCCTGCCTCAAATGGAAGGAGTTGGGCTAGATGACTTTTCTAGGTCCCTTCTAGACTTACAGGTCTCTGATTTTGTCTTTCTTGGCTCTTTACAGACTCAGGAAGACAACACTCCATTTCAAATATATCTCAACAGCCATAAGGGTTAAAAACCTCAAATTTAAAAGCACTTAAAATTGAGATTGTGAATGCTCTTCTATGGCAAAGGGTGAATGCCCTTACAAATTACACGGCCATGGAATCATGGAACACACATGGCCCTGTGCATTGGTAAGCGTGTGGAGATTTATGAAGCAGAAGAGCACTGAGACAAATGACAGGCAGGATTTAAACCTCCTTTCAACTTCAAGGCTATCTATAATTTATCTACCACTACATCCCCACATTCACTTCCTAAACCTTCATTTTCTCTCTCTGAGATCACCATTCACACATCTCTTTGCCTCTGTTATCTGCTCTGCACCAATTTGGGTTGATTAAACTACATAGGTCATCTCTCTTTCCATCTGTAATCATATTCTGAAATATAGCTGAATTTTTTATATATCTATCGGTTTGATCAATTTACAAGTACACAGGATAGTTGTTTTCAGGATTCTTAACCCATCCCATCCCTTCACTAATCCAGATCCATTCCTATGCTTTTGTGCCAGATTCAGCTTTGATTCTACCCCTTAACCTCTAACTCCCAAACATATTACTGGTAAGAAAAGTAATAATTAAAAAATACCTAATTCTCACATATATTTAAAGTATAGCTTACATAAGATATAATCTCTCTCTATCATGTAGTATATTATGTAAATGGATGACAAAATAAGGTAGAGAGTTCTTGGAAGACTGTATAAATGCTGCAAATACAAAATAAACTATTCTTTCCAACTCTCACATTTCTCATTGGCCCTGTCATATCCATAACTCTGGATTATACAACCATACAATGTAATCTTTATGCAAATAAGGGTCTGTAGACGCAGGATTGAGGACCTTTTCATTTTCCTCTTCCGATTATGCATTTGCACAGCAAAAGCAACCTTTAAAAAAATCCTTAAGTCTGTAAAGGGATACACTGAATATATGTTCATTGTGATCTCATATGACTAGTGAAATCCTTTTAATTAACTACATAATGATCCAGGCTCAGAACATTCCTGAGGGTTATAACAATTTAGAAATTGACAGCAAGGTTTTTCCTTCAAGCATTAACAGAAATACCCCATTTCAAAACATTTAGTTTAATCCACTTAAAACGTATGGCTAATAAATTATCTGTACAACATTACCCTATTTAAAAAAATAAAATGTTATATGAAAATCAGATGCGTGAGAGAAAACTGAGTTAGATACATAAATATTATTTTCTCTACAGTAACTGTGGTTCTTCAAGATGTGTTAGCCACATGGATTCCACTCTTGATGAACATGGGCATCATGTGTGTGAGATCAGATTCTTGAGGTCACACTTGTGCTGCACCCCCACCAGAGAAGATAAAGGGCAGAGCCAGCCCAACCATTCCTCAGTTCTTTTGCCAATATAGAATCCCAGAGAAGTAGACTTGGGGACTAACAAGCAGTTGTCTGTCTGCTTGGAGGTGGGTACTAGAAGTCCTACTTAAACAATGACCGTAGGACATGCCAACCAAACCGGGCATTGAATGTGGAAGACACTACTGTGATGGTGACAGACCAGGTCATGCTAGAGTGTATTCAGGTCAATTCACTTGTGTATTAGTGTAGATCAAAGTAATGGTTAGATGTACAAGAATGTATTGGGTGTTTAAACTTCATGAAAACTAATGGGATGCTATTTGCATTGTTTTCACTTATCTATCCTGTTATAATGTAATGGTAAACATTTACATAAGAACGGCCATACTGGGTCAGACCCATGGTCCATCTAGCCCAGTATCCCGTCTCTCTACAGTGGCCAATGCCAAATGCTTCAGAAGCACCGTGTATACATTGCGTATACACCTGTAACTAAATAATCCATCAAAGAAAAAAAATCCTTTACTAGCATTGTACAAGTTAAGGACTTAAAACAGAAAATGCTGATTTCAAAGCAAGTGATCATTCTGTGTGATGGTTGGAGGTCAGAAGACTAAGTGCATTCTTCACTCACTGTCAAAAGAAAAGCCTACAGCTTGTCAGTGTGCAGTAAATAAGGAATGGGCTCACTCACTGAACAAGGAGGTAACAAAATAAATAGTTCCTCCTTAAGAGAGTACCATCTATCCTGCGCATTGAATAAGGCAGGGGTTCTGTAGCAAAAATAGTATGTGATCAACTAATTAAAGATTATATCAGTGTATACACACAAGGGAGCCAAATTAAAGTTGCACAGGTAACCTTAATTCTGGCATTTCCTAACTTTTGAGTGCTTGACTTTGCAACTGTAATGTTTTAACATGTTAGTTTCATTATAGAAAGAAAGTATATTTAGGGACATTAAATCTGCTGAGAAATTGCTGAAGATAAGAAATACTTGAGATAGGGAACTTTCATTCATCTTTTGTGGATTATGCTTTTATAAGTAGTCTTTCCCTTCTTATGGGGATTGTAGACAGGTCTTAGTTTCGATCATGGATTAAAACAGACTCTTAAAAGTAATAATAGCTTAATATTACACTTAAACACTTTCAATTCCGCTGAATTTTAGTTAAAAAAATGTACTTATAAAATAGCAGGATAGGTCCAATACTGTACAGGACACAGGATTCAGTTTATAATCATTACAAAAAATACTCAATATAAATGTATCATACTTAAGTATCTCAAGCCAAACTTCTGCCAAGTTCTACTTTAAATTTTTATTGGTTCTTTCAAACGTAACAAAAACAAAATCACACAAAATTTAACAAAATAGTTTGGTATACTATACCACAACCTTTCTGAAAAATTCTCTTTGCATATGGACATTATCTAAGCAAATAAAAAATTTGAATACACAAAATACATCAACAATAAATTGCTAACCAATACAGAATCTAAGAGACATTTTGACCAATACAAGTGATCTTCAAACCAAGTAAAT